GGTGGCCGGTTGAATACCCTGCGCTCGGGTGGGGTGGATGGGGTGGGCAACTTGACCCCTGAAATCTCAAAAGTAAGATAGTTAGAGTCACAACATTTACGGTTGGATTAGCCCGGATGTGAACCCACTTATGTCAAAATTTAAGGTCCATGTGTTAAAATCCTCCGGTCAAATAAGGTAAACGATGTAAAACAAGATTGATATCCACAGCGCCCCCAGATCTCCTCAGGCAACAGCCTTCAATCTAGATATCCGTTTTAAGGCAAAATGTCACTGATGTTCATTTCTGGTCAGTGACTGTTTGACTTTCAAACGGTCATGGTGACTATAAGCTTACAAAACTGCTTTGAATAATTTTTTTTCTTTGAATAACCGTTAAGCATTACGATAGACGGTAAGCTCCTAAAAACAAAGGTCGATCTGGGTCTTGTTAGGTCAGCGACCTACTCCAATCTTAAATAAGTCGATGGAATATGCCTGTTGCGGTCCCTGTTACAAGGAATTCAAAATGAACAACAGAAGCTACTCCATAATGCGAGTTCGCCTGTAAAGAATGGTTTTGACCTCGGTTTGACCCTCATACCTGACCCAAGGTCATTGGGAATTTGTTGCCATCCTAAATTCAATTATTTGATTGCTTACGACATGAACTCAGAGATTTTGGTTCGTCTGACACTCCGCTGTCCCATCATATTGAACGATTCCTTAGACATTGCCTTTGCTGGCCGCCAGTACCTGACTTTGGCTTGCCATATGTCATCGACCTCACAGGGTTCATCTAATTTTTTACCGAAAGATCCGCCATTTAATTACATACATGTACGAAAAGTTTGATGTATCTACACCGTACTGTTTTGAAAGTATGTAGTAAAACCCTTAGGGGGGTCAACTTAACTCACCCGTGTGCATATTAACACGCGCTCGGGTGGGGGTCCAATTGACCCCCCCGAAGGTTTTTCCAGAATGGTTTCCGAACGGCGCAATGTAGCCACGCCAAATTTTGCATAGCTGTAGAAAATTGAATAGCAGATTCTGTGACATCAAAAATTTAGATATATCTTGTGAGGTCGCTGACCTATGGCAGGTCAAAATTAGGCCATAGTTTCAGCGAAGGCAATTTCTAGGAAATCCTTCAATCTGATCCAATAACGGAGTGTTAGACGAAGCCCTACGTCTCTGAGATGCTTTCTTAGGCCAGACAACATTTGAATGAACAAATAACATCGACCTTAGGTCAGGTATGAATGTCACACCAAGGTCAAAACCAACCTGTTTTGTTACTCTAGAGCTTGCTATATGGGATAGTTTCTAGGAACAACCTAGGAACCTGAAACTTTTACCTCAGTGAGTTCACGTACGGATCAACACACCCTGTAAATTTTATGTCTCTAGCTTTCTTAGATCGCGAGATCTCAGGGGGGGGGAATTGACCCCCACCCCCACCCGAGCGAAGGGTATCTAGCCGGCCACCCGGGCGCGTGTTATCAGTTCAGCAGCACAAAACAGACATTCCGCCCTTGCTGTTGAAGCCTCACCACCGAATTCTAGAACCAGTTCGCAATGCCGCACATTTCGATCCGTTTCGATATCAATTTATAAACTGCGCCGGCGACATATACAGCCGGACTGCCTCCCAAATACACGAATGTGCTCAGAGATATGATTCACTCTCTCAGGTGCAAAATATTTTGATCCCCGTTGGCCGCAGCTTAGTGTTAGCCTCGGGGCCAGTGCCACGCGGCCTATGGGTACTGCATCATCGGGGCCAACGCCACGCGACCTATGGGTACCGCGTCATCGGGGTCGGAGTATTTGTTTCTAAAACCTGCGAGCGCATATATTCAAAACTATGCTACACAATTTGTATCACCAAAGCCAACGAAGGTGGTTGACGCCAACGCCAACAAAGGCGTCGCGCGGCCTACGGACACGGCACCATCGAGAGTATGAATGTTTGTTTCTAAAACTTGAGAGCACATATACTCAGAACCACGCTACACAATTCGTCTCACCAGTCGATCCTGACCGAAGGTGAATTATTTCTAGGTAAATATGGGTTGGCCATGTCAATGCAAATTTTCGAGCCCATTTTGCTCAACTATATCAGGCCACCGAGTCCTAAACACCTGGGAAGAATCCACGACAAAACTACGTCCGAGCCATTGAGTTGTACATGTTTTAGAGTCCACTGAGCGATGAATGGTACCGGCGATTTATGTCATAGTCGTTCGACGCTTGCTTTCTTCAGTTTATTGGCTTTAAAATCCAAAATCTAATTTCAGTCCCCGTTGACCTCTGGCTTCTGTTCAAGTCAAAGAAGATCAAAGTAACTAAAAATCGTGCTCCCTATAAACGAATGGGCCATATTCGACTACTTGTTTTTTAGGGGGGGGCCACCATCAGATGAAAGCTCCCCTTGTTAACTCTGCACCCCCCCCCCCCTTGCCAGAGCTGAATGCACTCATGGACGTGGTCGTGTGGCGTGTGTGCCATCAAGCCGCTTTCTTTTCTTTCCACCTTTGACAGGTATAAGCCGTCATTACCTCGGTACCAACACCCAACAATCAAGGGGCATTACGACGGCAAGAACCATTCTCTGCCTCAATTACGATGGACAATGCAACAAGGCGACCACTCGCCACTTTTTTCTTTACTGATCCCAACTACTTGACCAACAGCGAGTAAGCTTTCATCCAGAGCATTCAGATAATCACCATTATTTCGCACAGACAATGATGAGTCGCCTCATGTCGTCCGAGAGCCACAAACACATGCGCGCGCGGTCCCCGTGTCTTTGATTGTATTGTCGGCGGCCAGGCCGGCGCCACAAAGGACAGCTCAGATGCGACCGCCCCTCCGCTTCGCCATCTGCATACGGATATACACCGGATCATGATCAGCACTCACACGCGCACACTGACATGTTATATCACCGAGAGCCCGCGGGAGATTGGAGGTATATGTGACGGCGGAACGCCAGGCGCGGCTCCAAGATGTCATGTCGCAGTCCCGAGCGCACGGGACTCACGAGCTCGCTGGTCGCCTGGCGCGCCGGTCGCAGCCGCGGCGCGCCGCTCCGCAGCACACGCGGCACGGCCCCGGCTCACGCACGTGGGCCACGTGACGCCGAGGAAGCGTGCATGGCGGCAGGAAGCGGACAGATCGGCGGACAGATCGGCACGTAGCCGGCCACGAGGTAAGAAAATACGGCGGCGTGACATCATCCGGACACCCCGCGTCACAGGCAGGCAAGAGTCGACCCCTCGCGTGCGCCACGTGAGGACCCCGGAACGCGGAGTTAGTCACCGGCCGCGTGACCGTCCCGGTATGTGAAAGCTGGACACTTCTGTTTTGAAACTTCCCTGCAGTCACTTCGCTCTTCACTTCCCGGATCTGACACCGCTCGTTCCCGGACGTCCCGGACAACCGGCTGCTGTTGCCGCACTGTTCAGAATCGACCGCTGTTCCCACATCATTTGAATATAGGTCGTCCGCCCGCAGTTCAAACGCTGCTCTGTCCGGACCGTTTGGACGAGCGCCGGCATTAAGAGCTAGGTAAGTACGCGCCATCGCCGTCGTGCAAACATCACAAATAGGAAAATGCGTCTTTTCGGAGATTCTACACATAAGCTCTAATCACTGCCTCAATCGATCGACGCATACGGTGAAGATAATCGGTACGGTACGGAGCGTTCGGACCGCACTGCACTAAACGCACGAACGGAATGCGCAACATGTAACTCAATCCGCGCAGCACGCAACAATAAATAGTCCCAATATCACCTAACAAACTACGTGCATAATATGAACCGTTCATCCGTGACAACAAGATCTGGAAGGTGCGATGCCGACAACCGAGCGTGGGGCGATCGGCCTCGGCGCCCGCCGCGACGCAGCGACAGAGGAGGGAACGGAGCCGAAAACGGCATCGCTCGGCCGGCGGCCGGTGCGCGGCGTCGTCAGGCGGCAGCGCGCGCGGCCACACGCCCCGCTAAGCCACTGGGACCCGGCACGGGTACCGATCACAGCCCTGGACGCGCCGCGGCCGAGGCCAGGTCCCGTCGGTCGGCCAGCTCCCGCCTCGCCGTCCGTCGTCGAGCGCAGCACGCACACGTCTAAGGCTCTAGAGGCGGCCGTCCTGCTGCGGCGGGCCTCACGCCGCCTGGCCGTGGCCGTTCTGCAGCAGTGTCTGCCGCGGCGTCTGGTGCAAACTGTCCGCTAGCTTCGTCTTGCTCGGGCTGGCGGGCGGGGATGTCCGGTCGGGGATGTCGGGCGGCTCGGTCCGATCCCGAGCGTCGGGCTGCAGCTTCTGCCGCTCCGCGTGGTCCTGGTCGTCCAGCACGGTCGCGGCCTTGTCGGCGGCCAGCTGCCACGGCGACAGCGACCGGCGCCCCTTCATCTGCAACACAGGCACCTGCTGAGGCGCGGGAGGGAGGGGGGTCGGATGACAGGGCCGCCGGCCGCGAAGGCGGCGGCGGGACGATGGACCGGCGACACCGGAGTATCCGCCCACAGCACGGGAGCGAGGGCAACGCCGCTATGATCGGATGTAAAAAAATTAAAAAAATAGTGAGCCGGAACGTATGCATGAGGACTCCGGTGTTATGCAAAACATCTGCCTAACAACAGTGTTTTGGTCAGCCAACTTCTGAGCACGACAGTTCGGCTCGTACCTGCCGCGAGCTTATTTGATGACCACATCCTGAGCGACACACATTATACCAATTCGTAGGACTATTCTAATTCACGAGTGCTAGAGCAAGATCAGGTCCAAAAGCCGTCCGACGGCCGGCGCACGCCGGTGTCGCGACCGGAGTACCGACGCCCGGCGCCCGGTCGGCGGGGTGAGCACTGACCGCGCGGGCGCCGCGGTGTCGCAGGTGCACCAGGCCGGCCAGCAGCAGCAGACTGATGCCGAGCGCCACCGGCAGCCAGCGGCCGGCCGCCACCAGCCGCAGCGGCCGCTGCAGCCGGCGGCGGAACTCGGCCGCCGTCGCCTCGTCGATTCGCGCCGTCTGCAGGCGGGCGGCCAGGGTCAGGCGGGGCGGGGAGGCACTGGCTGGCCGCCGGTGCGCGACGGCCGAGAGGAGGCGGCGCCGCCGACTGCCGCACGTCCGATCGGACGCGCGCACAGCCAGCACCACCCGCCACCGACACGCGCCCTGGACCGTAGCCGTCGCTGTCTGGCGTTTACTCTTTCCAAACTCCAGCCCTCGACTCTTTATCCTACTCCAGCGCTCCTACATCACTAACCTCCTCTGACGTGATAACGTGATAGCATCACCTCGCGTCTTACACAAAGAGCGGTCTGACCACAGCCACATGCGCAGTGGACGTGGCTGGAGGTCGAGCTCAATAACAACCACCGCGCGCCGGACCGCTCGAGCGCCACCGCCCGCTGCCGACGCGGCGCTCGGACACGTCCGTCACCGCGCCGCCGGCCAGTCAGCGTCGAGTATCACGCTTGGCTGCGCGCCTGCCCAAGTAGACGCGCCTCACTGTCCACCGGACACACGGTCGGCCGCTCCCCAGCCGAGCGCGCCGGGTTTTCCACCGCGGAGGAGCCATAAAACGGTGTAGTGCGTGCTTTACGACGGCGGACGGCCGGTTTCAGGGGGAGAGGCCGGCGCACCTCCGGCGCCGGTCTATCCGGAGCTTCGCACAGCGGGTCGACAGCGGAAGGAAAACGGACCAAAACAGGTCGACCCCGTCTGCACGGTTCATCCATAAGAGCTTAATTGGCAGTAAAGCGATTCAGGTGGTGCAGCTGCAGGGAAACCTTTTCTGGGAGAAAAAAAAACTAGGAGAAAAAAACGCGGCCTCACAGATCTGAGTTCTTCCTGCAGTTGCACTGGTCACACGTCGTTCTCCCTAGTCGCACGACTTTTCAACAATCTACGCTACACGGTAGCGTCCGGAATAAACTTTGGTGCGCATAAAATCCAGTTACAGCGCTCCACAAAAACCTACCCAACTAACCAATCATATCACCTCAAAAATGCTGCCATGACGCGTACTTCAAGCGAATAGTTGCAGACCACCGCTACCCTACAACGCCTGAGTGCCACCTTCGCGAAGAAGCAAATGATCACGAGTACTTGTGACACATACGAAGCATACGTACTGTGACGCGAAACGAAAACACGACACACACCGACCAGCGTAAACCGCGCCCGAGCCGCCTCCGACCACAAGGCGACTGACCCCGCCACCGCCCACGCCGGTGCTACGGCTGGCATCCGCGGCCGCACCCACCTCGTTGGTGTACATGACGGGGAAGAGGATGCGTGGCAGCCGGCCCAGGCTGGACAGGCCGTCGAAGCGGGCCAGGTCGATGTTGATCTGGATCTTCTTGCCGCCGTTCAGAGCCAGTCCCGTCAGCTGGCGGCACACAGAGACGGGCCGCTACACATCTGTCTCTGCCGCCGATCACGTCCACCGTTTCTTCCGACACGGGATGCTGTCATCCCGAGTGTTGACCGTGGAATCTACGCTTTTCACGTCTCGCGTTCCAAATGCCACTTTCAGGTCAGGTTGTCCACTAATCTCCAGTATGACGTCTCTATCGGTATCGGTACCGATCCCTCTTGTTTTGCGGCCGCGCCCGCCCCGTTGGTGTACATGACGGGGAAGAGGAAGCGTAGCAGCCGGACAATATTCACGATCACATTCGTAATTACACTCAAGGGGTTAGTCTCACTGGTCGCACGGGTACCTCGCAAGTCTCCTCTAAGCTTCCAAACAGCATCGTTGTATTGTAGGGATCCGCTCTGGGTCTCCTCCAATTCGGCGTATTCGCGAGCAGTCTGAGTCACGAAGGACGATGTTGTGGTCCAGAACGCGGACGATACCCAGTTTTTGGTTAGTGGACCCAACTCCCGGTTAAATAACACTATCGCTTGTTTGGACCATTGGTCTCACTGGACGACTGGTTTAGATTCACCGGCTTTTCAGTCAATGCCCGAAAAAACGCAGCTGACGCTGCTTGGAAGCGAACAAAATCTCCGCACTGTACTCCACTTCATTGTCAAGCTCCGCGATCACTTTCTCGTTCCCTATTTGGAAGCAAAATTTCTCGGACTTGCATCTGATCACATCCAGGATGTACAACTCCCGGACCACCTTCGACTTCTTCCGATTATCTCTTTCCCCAAACATTTGAAGAGACATCTCGCGGGACATCTGAGGATGTCATGACCTGTTTGTGCGGCGGAGTCGTGACTGGTGTGCATTAACCGTTGCGCGTATTTCAGCGCGTCTGTTTTTGGGTGACTATCTCTGTTCTGACGACCTATCAGTCATCCATATGTCCGCCAGGGATGGGTAGGCGATAGCCCGGCGTTCATTCGGGACTGCCCAAACGTCAGCGTTATCCCTCCAATCCTGACTTGCTCCCCCCGCCTCTCCAAGATAGGTTACACCCATGGACTAGCGAAGTGGTGGGCAGATTGCAGCAGTGTGCATCCCGCAGACGTCCATGTGCACGGCAGGTGCGAGACAGCGCAGCGGCTCTCGACACGGGGTGAGTGGAAGGAGGCCCGACCGCAGACGTGACCCCGATGACACAACAGACGGGCCCTACCGCGAAGTGGTTGGGTCCACGTGTCGATTCTGCGGCCGACAAAAACAGCCCAGAAGCGCGAGGACCAGAAGGCAAGAGGACAGCATCTTCCGAGCCCGAAAAAACCAACATTTCCTCCTCCAACTCTGGAAAAATTGGCACTACTTCTTCAAAGCAGCTTCTTTAAAATGGACTCGAGCCTTCGTGCCCTCTCCCGGCTTTTCGAGTACATGGCGACCCTGACACAGTCTCCCTCCCTATTAGTGCAGACGATTAACAATAGCAGCAAGACACTGGATTGCGACAGGCAGCCTGACACAACTGCCACCCTCCAGCGGCGAGCCTCCCACTGCTGCAGCGGCCCTGTTATGGGTCAAGCGTCACAGCCCGAGGGCAGGGCGACCGTCACGGCGGCGTTACGGCGGACCAGACACCCCGGGGCACCGGCGGCAAAGCAGGCGGCGTCGAGTCACGCTCCACACCGCTGCAGCCCAGCAGCGGGGCCGCAACAAAATTTCCGTTCCCCGCACCGGCGGACCGGCTGCAATGACCGTCTCGCCGGCCGGCAAGCGTCGACCCGTGCCGCCGCCGCACCGCCGACGGTGAGCCACTGTGTGCGCCTGAATAAAACAGGCACCGCCGGTACGGGGAACGGCAGCGCCGATGCCTGGCGTTCCCCCGCCCCAGGCCGGGCCGGGCCACGAGACGGCGGACGCGAGTCTCGCAAACTGACACGGCCCAAGGCAGATTACTTGATGTCGGGGGTTGTCGGGGTCACCATGCATTGTCGGTCGGGGATGTCGGGGATTGCCCCGACCTCTGCGGCTGGGGCCGGAGTGCAGCCCGACCGGCGATCACGGGATCGAGGCCCCGTGGCAGTGACTCACAGTGCTTGCAAGTCACGATTACGCTCTGTTGTTGTCCTTCCCTCCCTCCCTTTATCACGGGTTCGCCGGGCCATTTCCGAAGTAAATGACTCAGGTAACGACGCCGTCACACAAACACGGCCTCGCCCCCCTCAACCACATGTCCAACTTCACGCGCACTTGGCGGGCGTCGGCCCGAGACGGCAGAAGATCGCCCCGCCCCCCGAGCGGGACGGAAACACGCCGCGCCGTGACGTCACTCCCGGCCGTCCGAGCAGGTCGCAGCGGCGCCGCGGACCGTCAAACCCGGCGTGCCAGTCAGTCGCGGCGGGGCCCGACCCGGCCGGCCTCGCGGCCCACCGGTAGAGGCTGTGACCCGCGCGACAGGCCACCGACCGGCCGCGACACCGGCCGGCGCCGAGCGGTCAGGAGGCACAGCTGGGAGGGAAGATCAGGAGGCAGGGTCAAGAGGTACGGCCAGGAGAAAAAGTCGGGAGTAAACGTCGGACGAGACGTCCCGGCGAAAAGCTCGAGATGGAGAGCAGGAACGGCAGCGCGAGCGGGGGATGAGGAGGGACAGCCAGCAGGGACGGCCCCGACGGAGCGTGAGAAGTGAAGGCCAGGAGGGCAGCCGGCTCGGCCGTGGGCCGTGGAGCGGCGCCACACAGTCTCACGCACCGTCGCTCGGCCTGGCTCGACGGCGGTCGGCACGTGACGCGGCGAGCCGGCGTCTGCACGGAGCGGCGAGCCGGTGCCCGCCGCCCGCGCGGCGCCGTGCCGCTCCCAGACATGAGCGCGTGCTCACGCACGCGCATGAGCGTGACTCCGTCCTTCGCCATGCAGGCCGTCGGACTGCACCGATGGCAGTGTTTGGACAGGCCTGGACCCACCTTGCTGATGCCTCTCAGACGTCGCCATCAGTCTGTCCGGCGTTGCATATAACCTTCCCTAAGGTGGGAGACCGAGCGCTTCCGGCTAGCAATGCTCTTACGATGGACATCGCCATACCCTTACATGTCACGTCGGGTGCATCCCCGTGTCTGTGATTGGGAGGTAGGTGTATGCGTGTGCGTGTGTGTGGTGTGCCTGCACCTGACGTCTGCGTTTCTGAAAGGGGGCGGGTATCCCCGGTATCCCGAGATAAGCAACCGCCACAAAAACGTCAGCTGTAAAAACGTCTTGTCAACACCAGCAGCACCGTGTTTTTTTGCTTCGCGTCCTGGGTATTCCGATGAAATGAGACAAAGGCTTGAAAGACCGGCCGGTGGGAGAGTCACGGCCACCGGTTTGCCGAGGCCCGTCGCCTGGGCAGCTCTGCGCCCGCCGCCCGATGTTAACCCCCGACGCGGCCCGACGACCGGGCCGACCGCGCCGCTGCAGCGAGTCGGCACCGCCACAGCGCTAACGTGCCGAACCTCGTGCACGCTGCGGGCCGGCGCGGCCTGGCAGCGTGCTGTGACTATTTTTCTGGGAAGGTTAGGGTCTAACGTCTACAAGCACTTTGGGGAGATAGTCCCAAAGCCTCATTCGAAGACGCTGCAACGCAAATCCTGACGCCACACCTCAGCAAAACTATTTCGGGTCAACGGATGATCTTTGCCCCGTCGTTGAAGTCAAACAGCACGGGGTTCGAACAATTCCACCGCCGTTGCTCCGCGCTCACCCCGTGCCGGTCCACCCTCTATCGGCCAGCTGCCAGCTGACCCGTCGGGCCACAGGCCCTCGCCCCGGGGCTAACTAAAGGTGCAGCAACGCACCAGGCGGCGAAGCTTCTACCTGACGTCACGTTCTATTCAACATGACGTCAGGCAGAAGCTTTGTCAGACGTTTTCACAGCGCGACACATGTTGAAATAGTTGTAGCTTTCGTCACAATCACTGTGCATGGGAGACACTAACATTTACTTCAGCAAGTAATAAGAGTTTTACTAACAATGGAAACGGCAAACATGCTGTTTGTAACGAATAACACACTTTTTTGCCCCTCGTCGGTTCTGGGCGCGCAAGTTGACCTGTTCATGATGCACCTGTTGTGCGATTTCTGTACCACTTGGACCAAGTAACGGAGAAAAGACCATGTGCGTCTGCCAAACACATACGTGACGTCACGTAGTCTCTGATGTGCGGGTCGCTGAGAACACTAAAAGGCGCAGCATCTATGTGGCATGACGTCATGAATGACGTCAATGGCATAACGCCTTGTCGTCGGTTTGCTGCGAACGCACCCTAAACACACAGCGTCTTATCGCTCGCCTCGCCCGCGTCCACACCGATCGCCGCCCACACCCACACTCACACCAGCGCGCAGCCACGGAGGCCGGACGAGCGAGCCTGGGCGCCTCTCGCGGGTCCTCACCGGCTCAATGTCGATGAACGTCTCGTGGTGCAGCTTATCCGGCGCCAACCCGACCACGCTGTTGACGTACTCGGGGTCACCGTTGAAGAAGTGCGGCGTAGAGGCGACGATCGGTGCACCTGCCAACGGAGCAGGCGTCTCCCAGGCGCCGGCCACACACGCGTGCGACACGATTCACGTGCGCTCGGGCAGCACCGGGTCTCGCAGGGAGCTCGCTCATAACACGCCCACCAAGACGCTTTTCGATATGTCAAGCGAGCAGAAGAAGCATGATGCCCAGCTACGCGCAGGGCCCAGCTAGAGGTCACCGACTGCTCTGTTACGAAACGGATGCATTATGAGGTGTTTGGACATAAACAGTGGCTGGAGGACACATGCTGTCCGTAAGGATCTTCATCCGCGTAAACACTGAGTCCATTAAATTCCCAGCGCTGGCTCCGTAGTCAGTTTATCAGTTCATCCGTGATTGAGAAAACCTACGCCAGGCAGTTAAGCTGCCACAAGCGAGTTGTGCGACTTCGCAGACGGGTACGTCGAAAACGTTCGTTATCTTCGCCCCACCCCACAACAAACAGACCCCTTCCCTTCCGCCAGCTTCCCTTTGCTTTCCGCTGACAAGTGGGCCCGCCCGCATCTGACGTTCCTCAGCGGTCGCACTGTTGACACCGCTCAGGCCCTGCTCCGCGCCCGCCCGCTCACCGAACTGGCAGGGGCTGAGGCTCATGGCTCCGGCCTTGAGGCACTGCCCCGGTGGCGTGCAGAAGCAGCGGTTGTCAACGTTGACGGCCGGGTCCTCCAGCACGGCGCGCTCCGGCACGTATCGCCGCCCACTGATGCCAAAGTACTCCACATCGCGCTCGTAGTCCAGGTAGATGGACCTGCGGCGCGAGACGGGCGGTCAGATGGAGACGCCGCATCAGCACGCGCCTCGCGACTGCGCAGCCTCGGCGACGAGTGGTGACGGGACACACAAATGACCGACGCAAGTGCTTACGCACACCGATGTGGTAGAGGTCCGCTTTGATAGAGCAAGAGGTACGGAAAAATCCACAGCCTACGTGCGCCATCGCACGGCTTCATGAGGAGCTTAAATCACATGTCGTCGACATGAGACGGCGTACAGCTGCAAGGTAAGTGCGATCTCGCAGCGTAAAGCACCGTCAGCGCGGACGAGACTGTCGGCCCTTCCGATGACCTCCGACATCCCCACGCGGCTGCCGCACCGAAGACACCAACACGTCGGATGCTGATGACGTCAACCCATCATGATGACACCCTCCGTGCCATGAATCGCGGAGGGGAGCCACCCGGGCCCGACGGGCGTCCACGCGGCGGCCCGCGCCGGCGCGGCGCTGCAGCGTGACGTCCGGCCAGCGGCGGAGAGACGCCGCTCGCCAGCCGGAGCCGATCGAGCCCCAGCAGACCGCGGCGCTCCCACCCAGACCGACGGCCGGCAGCCCGTCGCCGGTGGACCCGTGCCGAGCCGGTCCCGCGGCCACCGTGGTCGGATCTTGACCGGCCGCCAAGCCAGAGGTACGGCCGGCGACGGGCGGCGTCCGGAGAGGCCCCGACACGGCAGTCCACGCCGGCGGAAACGGAACGTGACGGATGCGACTCCGTTCACGCTGTGGAGCTCGGCGCCGGACAGACGGACGCGCTCGACCGCATCGTCTGCGACGGTCACGCAAGGCAGAGAGAGAAAGAGAAAGGAAGAGAGAGAGAGAGAGAGAGAGAGAGAGAGAGAGAGAGAGAGAGAGAGAGAGAGAGAGAGAGAGAGAGAGAGAGAGAGAGAGAGAGAGAGAGAGAGAGAGAGAGAGAGAGAGAGAGAGAGAGAGAGAGAGAGAGAGAGAGAGAGAGAGAGAGAGAGAGAGAGAGAGAGAGAGAGAGAGAGAGAAGAGAGAGAGAGAGAGAGAGAGAGAGAGAGAGAGAGAGAGAGAGAGAGAGAGAGAGAGAGAGAGAGAGAGAGAGAGAGAGAGAGAGAGAGAGAGAGAGAGAGAGAGAGAGAGAGAGAGAGAGAGAGAGAGAGAGAGAGAGAGAGAGAGAGAGAGAGAGAGAGAGAGAGAGAGAGAGAGAGAGAGAGAGAGAGAGAGAGAGAGAGAGAGAGAGAGAGAGAGAGAGAGAGAGAGAGAGAGAGAGAGAGAGAGAGAGAGAGAGAGAGAGAGAGAGAGAGAGAGAGAGAGAGAGAGAGAGAGAGAGAGAGAGAGAGAGAGAGAGAGAGAGAGAGAGAGAGAGAGAGAGAGAGAGAGAGAGAGAGAGAGAGAGAGAGAGAGAGAGAGAGAGAGAGAGAGAGAGAGAGAGAGAGAGAGAGAGAGAGAGAGAGAGAGAGAGAGAGAGAGAGAGAGAGAGAGAGAGAGAGAGAGAGAGAGAGAGAGAGAGAGAGAGAGAGAGAGAGAGAGAGAGAGAGAGAGAGAGAGAGAGAGAGAGAGAGAGAGAGAGAGAGAGAGAGAGAGAGAGAGAGAGAGAGAGAGAGAGAGAGAGAGAGAGAGAGAGAGAGAGAGAGAGAGAGAGAGAGAGAGAGAGAGAGAGAGAGAGAGAGAGAGAGAGAGAGAGAGAGAGAGAGAGAGAGAGGAGAGAGAGAGAGAGAGAGAGAGAGAGAGAGAGAGAGAGAGAGAGAGAGAGAGAGAGAGAGAGAGAGAGAGAGAGAGAGAGAGAGAGAGAGAGAGAGAGAGAGAGAGAGAGAGAGAGAGAGAGAGAGAGAGAGAGAGAGAGAGAGAGGAGAGAGAGAGAGAGAGAGAGAGAGAGAGAGAGAGAGAGAGAGAGAGAGAGAGAGAGAGAGAGAGAGAGAGAGAGAGAGAGAGAGAGAGAGAGAGAGAGAGAGAGAGAGAGAAGAGAGAGAGGGAGAGAGAGAGGAGGGAGGAGAGCGAGATAGAGAAGAGAGAGGAGAGAGAGAGAGAGAGAAGAGATAGAGAGAGAGAGATAGAGAAGAGAGAGAGAAGAGAGAAGAGAGAGAGGAGAGGAAGAGAGATGAGATAGATAAGAGAGAGAGCGAGATCAAATAGAAGAGAGGACAAAAAACAATAAGAGAGAAAGCAACGAAGTCGAGGTTGATTTGAAAAAGAGAAGAGAGAGACGAATAAAAAGAAAATCCCCTTACCTAACTATAAAGTGAAAAAACCGTATTTCTTTTTTCCTGAAACGCGCAAAAAGCTCTGAATGCAAAAACAAATAGCCTTCCAACCCCTGACAAAACCCAAACTGAAAAAATTGCCGCTTTTGAGCCTTATGCACGACCCTAACGCAATGCATCAACGCGCCTGAATGCAAGCACAACTGCCGCCTGCTTGCAGGCCCCGGGGCCCCGGTCGAGGCCCGCACTTGGCAGAATCACCGCATCGTAGAGAAACAGCTCTTGGCGCAAATAAGGGCACCACAAGGAGCAGGAGAGGGTGTCGCTGACTTCGACATATAAAACAAAAAACCCGATACGTTTCGCGGCTCCGTTCCCTTCAAGGGATCGACTTATTGACACCCGCCCCCTCCATGGAGACAAATTAAGCACCTGGTCGGGGCTCGATCCCTTCGTGGCGACCAGCATGGAAGCGTGAACGACATGCACTATGTCGGCGCTCCCCACCAACCGGCGCTGTTTGGCAAACTGCGCCGTTTAATCATCAGGGCAGCGACACAGCTTGACTTAACGCCAACTGACATCCACAGCGCAGCTTCAGCGCCGCAAGCTCAGCCTCCGACACAAGCGCCCCGCCGCACGCCAGCTGCGGGGCAGCGGTCGGCGGCGTCGGCCGCGACGATGAAACCACGCTACCCGCGCGGCGGCTGCGCCAGCCAGAGCGGCGCCGACATCAACACTGGGTCTCAAAGACCGCAAGCACGTGGGCTTGACCGTGGCCCTGGCCGCACGTTTCCGTTCCTGCCTAATCCTGGTGAACGACGGGCCGCACGGCTCGATTAGGCTTGTTTGGTCGGGGTAATATTATTCCGCCATCACTAGCCACCCCATGACGCTGAGATTAAGGAGTGACGTCATCAGCAAGGGCGGATCCAAAAGGACATCCGGGGATGGGGAGCGCCAACTTGGCATGGGGGGGGGGGGGGACGCACTGTTCAAAAGGTTTTGCTTTTTTACATTTACGACAGTTCTTAATGTTATTTAAGGTACAAAAATGTGCCATTTTCGGTTCGGCCTCAGCCATGGCGGGCACTACCCGGTTGCCCCCCCCCCCCCCCCCCCCCCCCCGGGCCGTCCTTGAGTCTACAGTGGGATAATACCGCAGCCATGGTGGGACATCTCCGACGCCGAAAAAGCCGCGAACAGGACCCGCGAGCCGAGGCTGAGCTGGTTCTCGGGCGCGACTCCCGCTCGGAGAGCTGTGAAGCCGGCTGCTAGCGGACAGCCGCGGCAAGCTCCTGGCAAGACATGGTGCTGCGGGGGTACGATGTAAGGCGGAGGAGGCAACGAGGGATGTTCGGTCAAGGTTTGCTGAGCGTCCGTAAATCTGCTCACATAATATCCATACCGAGATATTACGCACCCAGCAGCACGCAATGTGGACGATTTACAGCACATTTAATATGCTCATGCTTGAAAAAGATCTGGTTTCCAAGCATCAAGTTACGCTCGCTACTTCAGATTTTAGGTAGGATTAGTCCTTTGAATGCGACCCCCTAAGTATAACCCTTTCAGAGTGTTATCTGTTTCGGTTCCGTGGGAGACTACGGTGACTGCCTGAGGGTGACTACTGAGGGTGACTACCGAGGGTGACTTCCTGAGGGTGACTACCGAGAGTGACTACCTGAGGGTGACTACCTGAGGATGACTACCGAGAGTGACTACCTGAGGGCCACAACTGTTGGGCGCCACAACGACTTGTACCGCGCAATTGCGCAACATTTTAGACTCGGCTCAGGTTTAGCGAGGAGTAAAGTCTAACACGCGGTAAGTAAGGTAAGTCTAACACGGTAAGTCTAACACGGCAGTTTGGTTTTTAGCTGCAGTCTTTTTAGACATGTGGCCTGCACCCATTTTCGGTTTACGCCACTTGAAGCCGAACGACAGGCGGATATAAACGACTAACGACCACACACCCGCATACAAAGCGGCAGGTGAAGCCGCCTTCCCCAAGCCTGAAGCCGACCCGTCGTCATGCGTGTGCTCTGCGACACTGCTGGAGACACTGCGAGTCGGGCAATGAAATCGCTGGGGCTGGAGGAGTGCAGAAACACACCGCCGGCGCCAACATCCTGCGTTAAGTGCCTTCAAAGTATGACGGCATAGCTTTTATATAATTGTACTATTCGCTGAAGACTTCATGGAGGCGCGATCAGTGGCTGGAAAGGCATGCGTCCGTCAAAGGCGGGGCTGCCGGAAAGGGTCGGTAAAGCAACACAACTGTAACAGCCCTTGTAACATTGGTGTCGCTGTCGGACAGAAAGCATATTTCCCCGAGGTTCCTCCCTCGAAGGGTCTCTCAGTAGCATCCTATAGCTCTAGTACACATACTGATCCTTCCTGCGTGAAACATTCCACTAGAGAAGATTTCTTCTAAAATATCATGCCTTCGTTCGTTAAGCCGAAAAACATATTTAACCACGGTGCGTGGCTATGCAACAACACAACGGCATTGCTATTTTCACTCAGCCTTACACAAATACATGCCTGAGACGTGGTGTCACCAGCGAAATGTCAGCTCATCTCCCAAACGGGACCCGTACGCGATGCGGCAGACCGCAACACGCCAGTGCTTATCGATTGGCGGCTTTCACGAAAGCTATCGGTCAGCCGGAGTGCCTCTCTACGACCCAGGCGGCCAGCATAGAGAAGGGGAGGGGGGCGGGGGGGAAACCCTTCGCCAACACCCGAGCCGAGCGCGCCGTGGGCGGGGCGTCACACCCGCCGCCGACGCGTGCACGCCACGTGTGCGAGGTCGAGATCCCATCCCGGTACGGAGCCGGCCCCTGACTCAATCACGGCCGACAGGAGGCTGACCCCGGACCCGGCCACGGCAGGGAGCAGGCCGCCTCCCGCCAGAGAGCAGACGCCTGGCACGCCGCGCCGCGGGACGGTCAGCGACCGAGCGGAGCGGCCGCCGGCGCCGCCCGGTCGGCAACCCCTCACCGCCGCCGGCCATGCGGCCTGCCGGCTGCCCGCCGCTGCACGATGACGGAACGGTGGGAAAGGGAAAACGGCGGAACGTCCGAGTCGGGGAGGCGGCGGCTGCGGCGGACCGTGCAGGCACAGGAGGCCCTCTATGCACCGTCGAGACCAGCGCGCATTGTAAAAAAACAAACACTGCGGGTATGTGCTGGGCGGGGGAGCAAGGACGGTGTCGGCAGTCAGACAATGCCTGCACGAGCTTTGAGTGCCCTGCGGACAGTCACATCACCAGGGCTGTCAGGTTAGGGGCATTCATGTAGACTGGAGGAGGCGGGGCAAAAGCAAGCAAGGCCAAAAGACCTCTACTGACTGCCAGGCTGCCGGTTTCCAGAAAAGTTCACGGTTTAGATGGGCGTTCTCCCCATAAATCGGCACGCGTTCGGGTCAGGCCAATGGAGCCCATGCTGTAAGGACTGAAACGGATCGCCTGGGCGCGGCGGGAAGTCCGGACGCCCGACCTGGTCCGGCGACCCCCGCCCCCTCAACAACGCTTTGCCGTGAAAACCGGAGCTTCATGCCGTGACGACACAGAACCGCCTACCAATCACAGGACGGGTGCGGTGTCGGAATTCGCGGACAGCCAGAGCAGCTGCACAGCCACAGACTGCAGAGCTGTACACTGGAGCGCTTGCCTTATGCTCCTGAAGCCTTTTACCTAGGTAACCGTTCGGTGTGTTGACCTGGGCTTGAATGGCAGTCACCAAAATGACTCATAGACTGACACGGAAATCATCTTTTGGGGTGTGGGGCGTCCCAAGGCTCAATGTTCTGCGGAATGTAGCGATGGTGTGACGTGGCGTTACTTTGTAGCCCCGTCCTCCGTTTCCAGGTCGTCGCACCTGTCGAACCGCAACGGGCTCCAGTGCCAAACACGTGGCGACGCCGCTGAAGGTTATCTATGAGACCAAACTGAATGTCTTAACGCAAATGCGTAGTAGGGCTAGTGTTGGTACTCCGAACAAATTCGTGTGCAAATCCCACCACACACGCCAAGAACAGGAACAGTGACGACGTTGAGCAAGCGGAGACGAGATGGGAGTCTTAGACCCACACAATTATATCAAAGGATACAAGAGCGCTAAATGCGGGCCGCCGCCTGCCGCAGTAACGCAGTACCAATGCCCCCCCCCCCCCCGCGCAGTGCACAGACCAACTCCGCATCGCGGTCCACGGCAGCTACATAAAGCCGCTATTTGCACTTCACTTGAATGACCAACGCCGGAGACGAAAATACTGCTCTCCGAACCCGTGCTCGGACGGGCCCCAAACGTCACCCACATCTGAACACTTTCCGTCGGAAAAGATGAAACGCATTACAACCTTCATCCAAGTCCCAACTGTAGTGCGCGATGAGTGAGATGGCCGACAAGCGAGCAGCAACGGGACTCAGCTGCGACAGAGCAGTCCTCGGTGGACGGCGGCGTACCGACATTTGGCGCCTCAGAGGGCGTGGTTTGGAAGGCCGCCCTTGATGCGCAGGGCGATGGGCCGCCCTTGATGCGCAGGGCGATGTGAGGACGCATTTGCCACCTTCAAGATAACCTGCGCCAGGGCTTATGCAGTGTGTGATGCTCGACCGCGGCGAACGACTTGATCGCTGCCATGGGTGTTAAAACGACTGGGAAGTTACCGGGCGTGCGGAATAAGGCCAAACAACAGAGAACGGGTTCACTACGAAGGTGCCGTTCTCTTCGCTAGATCAGGTGACGGGAGCGGCAAGATCCCCTCAATTGAATGTCCGGTGCGGAATTGCAGAGCACTAGCTTCAGGATGCCCCACCCCACCCCTGCTTTCAAATGGTGACCTCCTCAGAAATGATAGGCGTATGCAAAACAATCGGACCTTACGACACAATAGGCACGGGGCTTGATAAAACGATCGCAAGTAAATTCACAACTACGCCGTCTGGCTAACCATGACCAAAAAGACACAACGCTACGAATTTCTGACATCACATCAGCCGTTGTCACGAATGTGTTCTAGGAAAATACCAGGAACATTTCAAATCATCCGTAAAGCTGTTCACATGGATTGATGTCCAAAATTAGCTTCATTGCTTGAAATAACCAAATAACTTCTTGCCTGAAATAACTCCCTGGAGTTAACCGAGCATCCGTCTCTAGAAATAACTGCTGAGCCACGTTAATCAACTACCGAGAAGTGGTCGTCGCACAGCGCATGACAACGAAAAACCACCGAACGCGAAGAGCAAGAGCTTTCTGGACAAGCCCATCACGCCCCACTATACGCAGGCGCTGCACAATCACACGACGACCGTACATACGCGTTCAGTGAACGCGCTTTATGGCTCGTTACAAGTTGTAATGCAGATTTTCGTAGGTTTGATGCGGGTTTGATGGTTTTGCTGCTGTCTGAGTGCGTGGTAGCAGCCCAACAGCACGGGAAAGAAAGAGCGCTACATCACCTCACCACCATGTTCCAGACGGACAGCACGCGAGGACTGCCCGGCGCCTCGACCAACCTGCAGAGGTCCTTGTTGAAGATGTACATTCTGTCGCTGCGCTCCATGTGCGGGGGGTAGGTGATGCCGTCCGTGCCGTTCAGCATGTTACAGAAGGGCGTGCCCCAGTAGTCCAGGCTGCTGCTGCCCTTGTACGACTGGATGTAGGTGAAGTGCTCGATGTCGCCCTTGCCCGTCCGAATCTTGTACGGGCCGTCCCAAGAGTTATTGTACTGGGAACACGGGTCAGGTGTCGGCCGGCGCTCCCCCGCGCGCGCACCGTCACAGGCGCCAGAGCAGCTCGCAGAACAAACGGACTTCGCTGGCTCTTTTGCGTTTGTTAGCCGACTTAGTTTTAACTAGGCGGCGCCGGCGGCAGTTCTCGCAATACGAAAAAACCGCGCCAGCCAATTCTTCCAGTGAGTGTGCTAACCAGTTTTCGAGCATAAGTCCGCAATCCATAACGAGCACTCCCGCAGTTCACGAGCATAAGCACGCATAAGCTGATTACAGTTTGGCGCACTAACTGATCCAACATGGAACAGATTAGTCTGAAAGGTTGTGTCGTCCCGCATTATATCGTAAGTTCAACTGATGCGGCTAAGTTATCTTATAATTAACGTGGCTAATAGTCAACTAATACAGAAACCCCTGTGCATAGACGAGCACTTCTTTACCCTAAAGCGGGGAAAATGAACTTCAAAAATTTTGCCAACAACAGCGGATATTTTCGAGGGCTCAAGGTAGCCATGCGCTCTTTATTTACCCGAAGGTTAGGTGAGAAAATAAGCTTAACAGATTTCGCTGTTAACAACATACATTTTCGAGAGCTGTAGGCAACCATGCGTCCTCCTCTCTACATGCCATTCTGTCGCATTTCCGCATAAAAAAATGACAACCGCATGCATCCAAGCGGCTAAGCTTCAGTGCCCAGGGTCCTAATAGCTGTTTGACCTTTACAACTAAGCTCCTGAACGTGGCGAGGTCAGCAAGTTGTTACCAACATGAATTCCAGAAACGATCTGGCGCCCAGAGCGGACTTTCAAAGCCAACCTCGGCGGCGCGCACAGCCGCCAACGCTAAAAAGGTAAAATCCGGTCGCTTAATCCTTATCACAGACGGAACCAGCCTCCTGTGAATTTAACCACATTTCTCGTCCAACACCACACCTGTCATTATCCATATAACCCGCTCGCAGTCGACAACCTGACACCGCGTGTCGCCGTCCACAGCTCACAGCACACCAGTACACCGCCGGCCAGCGCGCCGGGACCGGCGACCGTCCGCTCACCATCATGGAGGGGAAGCGACCGGCCTGGAGGCGGCGCAGGTCCTGCGGGCTGCCGCAGAGGCCGCGGCCGCACAGGCCGTCCAGGATGGCGCCCGAGCCGGGCAGCGCCAGCAGGCGGCGCAGCGCCGGCACCGGTGAGCCTTCGAACAACAGCTCGCGCACCGGCACAGAGACGAACGGCTGCTCCAGCAGCGGGCCCATCGCGGCCGAGACGAGCGGCCGCAGCAGCGCCGCCAGCGGCATCGCCTCCACCAGCTGCTGCAGCATCTGACGGACGGGGACGGGCACGGTCAGCATCGGAAGAAGACAGCGTCGTCGTCTCCACCAGCTGCTGCAGCATCTGACGGACGGGGGGGGGGGGAGAGGGGGGAGCACGACCAGTACCGGGGACTGGTACTGTCAGCTACAGCTGCTACAGCATCTGACGGACGGGGACAGGCACGGTCAGCACCGGGGGCGGGGGGGGGGGGGGGAGCGGAAGGGCAGCGACATCGTCTTTACCAGCTGCTGCAGCATCTGACGGACGGGGACGGGCACGGTCAGCACCGGAAGAAAGCAGCGTCGTCGTCTCCATCAGCTGCCACAGCATTTGACGGACGGGGAGAGCGGGGGGGGGGGGGGGAGGGGGCGAGCACGACCAGTACCGGGAGGAGGCAGCGGCGCCGCCTCTACCACCTGCTACAGCATTTAACGGACGGGGAGAGCGGGGCGAGCACGACCAGTACCGGGAGGAGGCAGCGGCGCCGCCTCTACCACCTGCTACAGCATTTAACGGACGGGGAGAGGGGGGGGGGGGGCGAGCACGACCAGTACCGGGAGGAGGCAACGCCGCCGCCTCCACCAGCTGCTACAGCATCTGACGGACGGGTGAGGGCACTGTCAGTACTGGGAGAAACAGGCAGCGGCACTTCCTCCCACAGCCACCGCAGTTCTCGAAGGCCTCGAGCAGGAGGACGTGCCGGCCAGTGATACCGCCTCCGCCCGCCGCTGGGCACCGGAGGGGCGCCGGCCACGGCCAGTACCACGGTCGGGTGAGGAGTGCTTTCCGCCCCGGCACGGGGTGCTCTCCGTGCCGGCGCCGAGATCGACCGACTGTGGTCGCAGCAAACCACACCGAGTGCGAGCAGCTCGAGGGTCCACGTACGAGAGGGCCCCGTGGATGGGGGCAGACGGTGGCGCACGAGGTGCGGCTGACATTCGCGGTCACCGGGACTTTGGCGTGTGACTAGCCAAACGGGTCGGGCCGTCACGCGGTGCGGCGCGCGCGCACTGGCGGAGAGGCGGCTCCTGGGAACGTCGGCCGGGCGAGTTTCGCCGAGCGACCACGCTGATTTGCGGAAGCTTGTTTCATCCGATTACATCTGTCTTCATCCCATTACATCGGAAGCGGACATGAAACCATGCACGAGGCGTGTCGAATATTCGTCACGTTAATTGTGTTTCGGCCGCCTACGCTTCGGTTTGGTATGCATGCATCAGTTGTCGTTTGGCTTCCTTCGGTCCGCTATTACCAGAAGCCCAAATTGTATCCATTATGCCTTAGTTCCTGGACGCCGACAACAAAACACGGGGTTTCCGAGAAGTGCTGATAATGTGCGATACACACTTCGTAGAACAACGCAGGGCTCACTGCAAACAGCTCGTCCACTTTCCTCGCCATACAGTACAATCCCACCGTGCTTTTAGCACAAAGCACGCTGCCGATCGCCGATAACGGCTGAGGGGAGGGGGGCTCGTCTTCCAGGCCACTTACGCAAAGTGGCTCACACACTTCCGAGCAGCACCGGAAAACCCAGCATCTTGAGTGTTCAACATATTTTGCCTTTAGCTGTACCCATCGCCAAAAAACGCATCCGAAAATCAACATAGGCTACTATAAGAGCCAGAGACGTACAAACAACAGCCCCAGCCTGACGCCGTAACCATGGATTCGTAAGCAGACAACGTGAGGGTATTCGAGACATTCAAAATGTCTTCAAATACCGGGACGCTCGCTTCCTGCATTTCACATCAAGCTACACTAAGCGAGCACTCTGATCCCATCGTCGCCCAAACGAATGATGCAGGCCGCTAAATCCATAAACTCGGGAAACTTAATCTCGAAAGCATTTCATTGTTGGAGGCCTGAAGCACCTCCGCCCTCCGCCACCGCCGGCTTTACGGAGGGCTCCCGGGTTCCCGGGTTCCCAGCACTTCCCTTGTCGGCGTCCCCGAACAATAATGGCTGGTTTCTCAAAAGAGCGGGTTCCCTGCAGGTGGGCGGGATCCATGCAGCAGTGTGGTCCATAAATGAATGCTATACACCGCTGCTCAGAAGACACGTGGAAGGAGGTCATGTTGACTCGATGTTTTTATGAGCCATCGATGAATGGCACGAGTCGGTGAAGCAGTGCCCGGATCGCATGACAGCATCGTACGCTCACAACCGGTTTGTTACACTGGAGTTCGTTGCACGGTAACGGCCGGCAGTGGTTACTGACCAGCACCGGCGCGTTGATGGTGGTGATGGCCGTGTCTTGGCTGACGTTGGCCGCCGAACTCTCCGCGTCGAACACGTACGTGATCTGCTCCGAGTACGTGAGCTCCGTGCCGTCCGCCGACCAGCTGAGGTTCCCTCGCTGTCGGCTCTCCCTGTCGGAGGCAAACATACAACTGGCTGCCGGCTCGTGAACTTGCCTTATTCGCGGTGACATAGCCGACATGCAAGCAGTACTGGTGCTGCGAGGTGCACCGGTGCGGCGGCTCGACCCCACTCCCAGGTCTGACCCTACGGTGCGGGGTTGGGATGCCGGGTGACGGACATCCCCTCCCCGGACGCTCGCCCTCCGAGCCGCTGCAGCAGTTAGGCGCCACCCCCACCTGCGTTCAGCAGCGGTTACACCGGCCGCCGCTGCATTGACTCACTACTGGGCGGCTGACCAAGCGTGCACTTCACCTTGCCATGTACTCTGCTGAGTAGGGGTGAACTGTACTCTGTGGTGTACTCCGCTGAGTGGGGGCGCACTGCGCTGTGCTGTGTACTCTGTTCACTGGGCCGGCACTGTGCTCTGCCGTGTGAGTGGGGCTGCACTGTACTCTGCCGTGTGAGTAGGGCTGCACTGTACTCTGCTGTTTTCTGACAACCAGGAGTGCTCTGTACTCTGCTGTGTGTCCTACTAACTAAGCGGGCACACCTGCACCTCACCACAGCACGTGCACATCCGTCACATATGAAACGAAACGCAGCTCCAGGACCACGGACACTTACTAGCCAGACAAGACAGATCCACTTGCCATCTCACAAATGCGCGTGTGAATGCACGCATCTGCGTTTTGCATCATGATACGTATATGCGTCTTTAAGGACATCTCTCCAGTAGCATGCTGCGAGACAGCGTGAGTCAAGCTGCTGGGACGCCCTGACTGGATGGTGATCTGTGCTGCAGCGCGTCATCCTATCAGGCTACGCTGTAGATAGTTTACAGAACATCACGTCTCTGTATCCTCCGAGATAGCACACCTCAAACTGCTGGGACACTCTGATTCAATGATGGTATATGCCGCAATGCGTAGGCTTATCAGGCTTAATGGTGGACAATGGTCAGACTGGCACGCCTTTGTTTCCCTTCCCGAGACCGCCAGCTCCTATTGCATCTCAGCTCTACTGGCCTCATTCACAGCCCATAAACCCCGGCGCGTTATCTGAACACGGCCGACAATGACAGCGGAACAACGGGAGACGGTGGTTGCCCGGAACTCCCGTATTATCTGTTCATCCATCGCCAGTCGGCTGGGTACCGACCCCGTCTTTTTTCGTTCCGCGGCTTCACGCTTTCCAAGTAGGCCAGTGGCCCGCCGGCCCATGTTGACGCGTCACGAGTAAAAAACGACCAATTCGGCAACACCGAGACTTCCAAACGGTCTCCAAATGGCTCCAGCGGGCATTAGGCACAGAACAACACCAGCTGGTTAATGGACTGCACCAGAGCGGGAGCCGAGTGAGACGCCGACATTTGGTGACGCATGTGAAGCGCGCTGAACGAAATTCGAGCAGTGTTTGTCGCACACTGAGACACGTCTGCAAAGACTCATAGGTTTGCGATCCACTGAAGTTGATTGCCGCACTGTGCCATACAGCTCCCACAGATCGGTTCTGCGAGTTTCTGTGTTCGCAATCACGAGCAGTTTCGATTCCACGCACCGCACCTGCGGTCGGTCGCACACGCTCAAAACGGAGGGAGCAAACACCTTCACAGGCCGACACAAGGACATGTAATACGACAGAAAGACTGACTGCAACGCCTGGGGGAGCTCAAATTAAAGGCATGAATGATGCATGAGGAGGCGAGTGTCGAACGGCGGCGGCTCACCTGTAGGAGAACGGGCCGACCTCCTGCAGCTGCGGCTTGGCGCCCGCCGTGCGCACCTCCTCGGCGTTCGTCACGTTGAACATGATGAACTGCATGTACACGCTGACCTTGTCCGTGGGCGCCCGCCACGGCTCGAAGCTGGCCGACGTCGGCGTCAGCACCATACTCTGCAACAGGATGGGTCGCGGTTACCGACAGGACTCCCCTGGATGTGTTCTGTGTGCAGCTTGAGACTGGTGCGGTGCACTAGCGTAGCCACACAACTTATATATATATATATATATATATATATATATATATATATATATATATATATATACATAATGGCGGGCGCAACAGGTACAGATGTCGCCACGTGCTCATACAGTCTACGCCAGTCATAGAACTGAGCCTGCTTGTCGCATAGGTTACCTCCCGAACTTGGCTAGTGATGCGTGTGTGCTAAAATGCGCACTGAGCCGTCCTATAAACGCCTTGCTTTTATCTGACTGTGGCTGGGTTTGGTCCGTTTAGTACTGCCCTCGCCGGTGCAAACGCTTCTTAATGACAATGACGCAAGCTCCTGGATTAAGTATGGAAGTGTGAAAAGGACGGGCGCTCCAGCCGTCTTAGCCTGGCCGCAGACCGCAAACCCTGCCCAGCGGCAAGCCTGGCAACAGAGCAGGCTCCCGTCCGCGAAAACAGCGCGAGCGCTGGGAACGACTGCAGACGCTCGGCAGCCGGGGGCATAACGGTCTCACGGGGGGAACACCGCGGTGAAACCCCGGTGCAGCGGCGAGAGCAAAGCCGCAAAACTTCGCCAGTGAGACAGACAGAATGACATACATGGCCGGATACACTCGGCTAAGCTACTTTTGGACCCGTCCGGACATGCCTGGACATCTCAGAGCTATTGGCTTGTGGAGACAGCAGCAAGAGGTGGAACAGCACTGCTGTCACGTGGGCTATCGCCGGCGTTGATACTTGCGCTGCGCAGCGGCCTTCAGTGCGCGGGTGTTTGTAGGTGACCGGAGGGGGGAGGGGGCTCCCAGCTGGGGCGGCCATGAATCCGACTTATGGCTGACGGCCGCAGCCGACTGCCCGTGAGAAGACGTCGTGGGGATGTAGGATGAAGCGGTAGGAGCAAGCAAGGGTGGGCTGGTTGCGTGTCCAAAGCGCTCGATTTTCGGGCAGTCAGCATAGCTCGCAATCAGCATAGCAAGCAGCATAGCAATCAGTCAGCATGGCTCGGTTTTCCAGTGTCTCTCAGCACGCGATCGCATATCATCCACTCACGAACATGTTCGCCACGTGCACGTGGCGTCAGTGAATGCACCACTCGGTGCGTGCTCTAGCCCTATGCATAAGCCCGGGTTTTCGCTCCATTTTCATGTAACGCCACATGCATAATGCTCCCTTCTTCGGGACGAAGGGGGGGGGGGGGGGGCAGGAGCTCTCATCCTGCTCCGCCGTCTCCGCCATGAAGACACCTTTTGACTTACTCATAGGTTAGCGGGACATCCTCATTAGCATCGAGATGCTTAAGCCACTTCCCCTGCATCCTCGCGTTGTCCTTTTCAGCATGCGCACGCTGCATCCATCAGCCGCGTGTTGGCCTCCCGACAGCTCGGCGGGAGCCCCGCCCTCTGCCCGCGCACACCCCTTGGTGGCGTCCGTGCGGGAGGGCAGGGTGGGTAAATGTGACAGTGTACGATGACCTGTAGCACTGTTCCACCATCCGTCTGCCTTACTGATCCCATAGCTCTGGAATGGTCAATGCTGACCAAAAGGGCTTCGAGATCACCAAGCCAGACACTAACTCGGCACTACCTTGAACGTCCAGCTATGGAGGTCCGTCTAACCAGCTTAAATATACCCAGAGGATAACCCATAACACCCGTCTTACTCGCCTACGTATTGGCCGTGCTTTCAGCATGCACTGCTTCCGACTGAGCAACACAGCAAACACCCCGACATGTGAAAGGTGCGGCGAATCCTCCCTGTGAGGAATCCCCCCTGTCCTCCCCGTCACACTGGTTGACTGGGCGCTTCTGGGTGCTGAGAGGCAGTGTTTGTTTGGACGCGAAGTGACCCTGACCTCACTTATAGTATCTAGAGATTGGCTTACATCATGTTCTGCTGTTTTTTAAACTGCTGCTAGACTTCACGTGGTATTTCTAACCTCAAAAGTACAGCAAACTCGTTGTGCAAATAAAACGCGGCGAGAGTTCAAGATGACATAAGTAGCTGACGCGTCCTATAATACCACTTATCATTACCATCGCACATTGCACGCGCGCAGGAAGCATATCCTGCAGCCACACGTCCAACCCAGTCACGTCTGATCTACCCGTACCACGACGCTGAAAACTATGTCAGCGTCGTCTCTATGTTTCTAAAGTATCCACAGCGAAAGCTATTTGTCGGCCGTCTTCGCTCTGCCAGACAGCGTATTTGGTATATGCTGGACACCACTAGATCAACGCTGACAACCCTGTCACAGGTTCTACAAATATACTTGCATGCATACTTTGTATTGTATGCAAACAAGTATTGTATACTTGCTCTACATATACTTGCACAAACATGCATGTATGAATGCACAGCCACTAACCAGTTGCTAGAGGACCCCTGCTTTGATAAAACTAACTGCATGCATAACTCATTACTCTTGCATTCATAGACTATGCACGCCTCCGCTAAGCTACGCCAACTGCACTTTCGCATCCGCTCTCTTCGAACTGCCACCGAGTCCACGTGGTGACTTATGAGGATCAAGAGAAACATTGGGGGCGTGCCAGGGGCTTCGGCGCCACCAAACAGACTCGAGTGGCCGGTACAGCTGTCGGCAGACCATGAATGATCCCACACTGCACAGCCATCTGGGCGCGCGGCGTCCCGCAGCGTCCGACGACGTCGACAGTGCAGACTCGACTCAGACAGTCCTCTGACAAGTACATGACAGAAATGTCTTCTGAAGAGTGACGCGCTTGCATTCGGTTATACAAACCACAATCCCAAAACTGCGCACCTGGAATTAGTACCGGGCTGTGGCAGAAAGTGTGGCCACGTCGGGGATCTAACCAGGCACCTCTAGTCTCATAGATCAGCTCCTTCACCACTGCATTACTGACACCTGCATCTGATCGCAGACGTACCGGACGACTCGAAGTGTGAGTGTTCACTATGCACTAAGCCAGGCTACCCTGCCCTCTTATCAAGTCATCATAGGCCAATAATCCGTCTAGCTGCATCAATGCGTGAGATGCCACGCATCTGTCCGCTCGAACTAGCATGCAAGGTCATCGAAGGTTAACCTTTGTGCAAAGCCACGCTCTCCATATGCGGCTTATGTTGTAAAATACTGCTTTTATACTGTATGGGATTTTCCCTTCCTTACATATAGGTCCGAGACAAAGGCTCACGCACGTGGTGGTATTTTAGGTCAGCTTGGATCGCTCCTGCGCCAGAGTGTTTACACGCGCCCGGGTGGCCGGTTGAATGCCCTTCGCTCGGGTGGGTGGGGACAATTTGATCTCCCTGGTATCTCAAAAACCAAGAGAACTGGAAACACCAAATTCACAGGGTAGATTGATCTGTACGTTATCTCACTTGTGTCAAAATCGGAGGCTCCTACGTCACGACCTTCAGGTCAAATAGTTAAAACAAGGTCAAACGCCAGATTGGTGTCTCAAGTGCCCTAGACCTCCTCATCCCATTGTTGTGAAGCTAGACATGCGTTCTTAGCAAAAGGTCAATGAGGTCAATAACCTTGTTTGACCTTTATAATGTCAGGTAACCACATACCTACGATATTGCTCATGTGTTGCTATTCAAATATGCGTCAGAGATTACGCCAGGCGGTATGCTCCTAAAAGTGTTGAACTGGGTCATTTGAGGTCAGTGCCCTACTCTGACCTTAAAAAAGCCCATGGAGCATGTCTGTTGCGGCACCTGTCATCAAAATATTGGAGATAAGAACCAGAAACTGCCCCAAAAAACGAAGCTCTCGAGTAAAAAAGCAAGTTAGTTTTGACCTCGTTCTTGCATGCACACATAAACCTGAGTCAATGGAATTGGTTGTGTTTCTAAATTCGATTAGCTTATTACCTAAGAGTCTATCTCGGATATGTACGGCTTCATCTAACACTCAGTCGTTGCATCACACTGAACGATTCCCCTAGAAATTCCCTTCGCTGACAGCCATGGCCTGACTGACCTGCTATAGCTCGGCAACCTTTCAAGGTACATCCAACCTTGTTTACATCAAAAGGTTCACTACTTAATTCTCTTCACCTATGCAACGTTTGGCGCGGCCATGCCGCGTTGTTCGGAAATATTTCTGGAAAACCATTGGAGAGGTCAATTTGACCTCCACCCGAGCGCGTGTTATGCCACATATTGCGCTGCCACGCGCAATACGGATGCCTTTACCAAACATCAGAAGATCCACTGCTCATGAGCTGGGTGCGAGGTTACAAACTAGCGTCACATATACACGGCACATGAAGTCATCATCTGTCAAGAAGCATCACTGCTCCCTCGCGAATACAAGACTAATACAAGACCTACACTGCCATGCCAGTTCGCGGGCCTCGATGCAAACAGAACCTGCCACTAGTCCAGTTCAGTGGCTTAAGTCACACTGCAGCCTACGCTACCCGGCTTAGATCGTCACAGACCATTTAAGCAAGACCTGCGACTCATTCGGTTCATTGGAATCGATCTCGGATGATGTCGGTGGAGAAGGTCCCGGTGACAGCAATTCAAAAGATATCCCGCCACCCGGGCTTCATAAAACCTCACACTTTAAATTTCAATCGATTCACCGATCAATATAGAGATGTTGACTCAACCAAGCTCGAATTCTATGGAGCAGGTTTAAAAGGGTCGATTCCAGCCTGGCCCAAAATGGAATTCGGAGGATTCCTGACTTGATTACGATTCCGACCGGAGTAAAGCAAGAGTGAAGTATACTTAATCAGATAAGAAAGGCATAAGGGATTAAATAGGCTTTTGGCCTTCTGGGTACCTGACATCATTCCACAGCAAATACATGCAATTTCTGCACACTTTCAGGCGGGTTATTTAACTCCGCTTTACGTGCATATTGACTCCAGCCGATCTCCTCCTCCGCCGGAATCAGGGCAGTGATGACCAGTCACGTGGTGATTTTGAGCCATGCAGTAGCATGATGAAAAACCGCTGTCCATACCTGACACTGTTTGACAGCATACAAGTCCACAAAAACACGCGCTGCACCGGAACACTTTGCACTGGCCCGAGTAAAAGTTAGACCCTTTCCTAGCGTAGGCCTGCATCGACCCCAGATCCGTTCCCACAGAAGTCTGCCCGTACGGCGCGAAAATAGATCGTGCAAATGCGCGCAAAGCACCTGGACTACATCCTTTTTACAGCTACCACTGGATCACATTTCATCAAGTGCCTGACTATCTGAGATGTGGTTACGATCGAGCTGCGAAGCGCTTCGCGAGATCTTACGGGACGTAAGGGAACTTCAGGCGCTGAAATGTGCAACACGACCCCAGCACGCTTGGTTTCATAATTTCGTCTACAAAAAAACGATGGTGTTTTATGAAGACATCACCATCCATACAAAAACTTATGTGGTAGCAATTGGGTTCGCTCCTTTTAAAGTAATGGCTCCCGCGAAAATTTTTTCGAGAAACACTACATGGCGCATACTACTGGCCTGATTAACTATTTAGCGTACCACCTCGTTACCGCTAAAGACTGGCGCGGTGCACGCGGCGCCATAATTTAATCATGGCTCTCACTGCAATCAAAGACGCTGGAGTCGGATGACGAAGCCCCAATGTGTTTGAAGCTTGGGATAGCGCAATTCATACCTTCATTTGTAAAGCTCCATGTGAGCTCCATGAGGGAGACACGCAGAGTCTCAGCTGGCAGCGCCCTGGAACTTACGGTTGCATGATAGTGTTGTTTTACGCCGATGATGTCAAGGGTACGCTGCATTCTGCGTTATGCCACGCGGCCCATTGGCCACGCCTTCCGATACCCTACTGGAGTTATGGTGCAGTTGGTGACGACATCGGGGTCACCGGTCATCTGCTCCGCCGTGAAGTCCGGAGCTATCGATTGCACCTCGGACCGGCGAAGTAGTTACGTTGGTCCAATGGGAATGCACAAAACTATCCAGCAGGTTCGTGTTCGGCTTCGGATAGTGATAGCGACACCGGCTTCAACCGACGAATTGAACTGAGTGGGTGCAATCGATCCTATGGTTTTGGTGTGAATCGGGTTCGGAGTGTTCCGAGTAAGTCGACTCGAATAGTAGAGTATGGGGAAATTATATACTCGTAGTCTGACAGTGAACATGCCAACGAATCAGAACACATTCGTGTGCATCTTTATCATAGGTTATCAAAATAAATATCCTCCTTTCGCTTCTATGAAGGCCAGAGAACGGGCGACCTCATAAACTGTAGTCGCTTCAATTAATGCCATCAGACCCGACTCCGAAATTAAGCCATTCACGGACTGCTACGTGCCGTAGGTAGTTCGAAGTAGAGAAGTACATGAGCCAAATTTCTTTGAGTCAGAACAGGAGTTGACACGAGGTTGTCCTGAGCTGCTCTGCGTTACAGTGGGAATCAGGTCCATGCACTGTGCATCACAATAGGAACCGAAACCACTGGAACAGAATCGAGCACAAGCCCAACTCGACTCGAGCATTTAAATATCCCGTCAAAGCCGGCTTAACTTGGGAATTGAAAGACAAGATTCAATTCACAGCACATTCAAAGCAAATTCAATGAGCTGCAACCCTAAGCGACATGCCCGGCAATAAGTGTCACAACAGGTCAATTCAGGCGCCCACAGACGTCAGGTGGCTGACTCAGGTACGGCTCGCAGCTCGTGTGTACAGATCAGTGGCCGAGGCTGACGCCCCTGACCCCGGGCGGCCACCCTCCCCGCCCCGCTGCGGCCGGCGCCGCTCCAGCTCCGTCTGTGCGACACTGCGGCGCCGGGACAGACTGGCAGACGACTGCGCCAGGGCGGGCTGGCCCGCCGCCAACTGCAGCCGAGCCGTCACTGTCGGCCGCGTGACACACCGCTCCGAGCGTCCTCCCGCGAGGAGCAGCACGAGGGGCAGCAGCAGGGACGTGCGTGCTGGATCTCAGGGGTCGGAGCCTCTGCTGGCTGCAGGGCACCGCGCCAGAGCACACGCTTTTTTGCCACATGAGTCGTGACGCTCTCAGCGTCTAGCTGTTTATGTAAAAGCGCATAACGGATGCGTTGGCATAACCCAGCGCGTAAACGCACGCAAAACGTGACTGATTTCAACAGTTCCGAACAGGGCCACGCCATCGAAGCAATTTTCGACGCTAACTGATTTGAATGACGTCAAGGTAGGGCAATTCGTTCCCGGCTGCCGGCAGGCCGGCAAGGAAAGTGACAGGATTTAAATTGTATCCTACTGTTTTCAAGGCTTTAACGTGCGGTAAGAATCCGTCAAGTAAACACCTCCTCTCTTCGCCTCCACGTACCTCACGGACGCTGCCATGATGTTACCCGTTATCAGTAACACGGACTTTTCACCTTGAGATATATTACGAAGTCAGGCGGTTATCTCCAACTCATGATCGGAATGGGTCAAAATTCGCACAGCGTTGTTCCGAATCTAAAGCACACAATATGCCATAAGTCGGAGTTGACCGAAGCAGGTCGAGCCCGGGCCATACGGCGCACAGCACTGGCCATCGGCGACTGCGTCGGGACCGGGACGCGGTCGTCACGTGGTCACGCCACCCCGTGGCTGTCTCCGCCGGCCCTAAAGCCGGACGGAGAGCTCGGCCAACAGGGAGGACGGTGGGGGTGGGACGAACAATCGCTCCCCCCCCCCCCCGTGAGAGTAGAAACGTGCGGCTCTGAATGCCAGTGACAGCTCGCCATGCAATAACAGGTCCACGGCGATAATCATGACGGCGTCTCTGTCTCTTCGACCACCAGGCACCTCAGCATGATGGAGGAGATGTGGAGCTGCCCGGTACGGATGGGGTGGCAGACGCAGTTCGTGTCTCTGTATGGGTGTATACTGATCAAGATCTGTCGGGATCCATACGCATATTGAACAGTTGGAAGCTCCTACACAACGTTGTGGCGAGTTGTAAAACATCCACGTGCTCGCCGCAAATCGCGACAGCAGGGAGACGCGTAGGCAAACAACATAAATATAAGGCACCCCAAGGACAGGTAATGCAGCATGGAAGGCACAAATGTGTCTGGACTCTGGATCCCAGTTCCGCGGACACGTATCCAATCCCAAAGGTAGCTCCTGGGCTGGTACCAAGAGTGGATCCCGAAAAGCAAGGCAACGCCAACCAAATAATGGATTACCGGTCCAAAAGGCGCATCCATGATCATACGGCAATATAATCAACACTTCAAACACATGACCCGGACGCTGGGTCGGGATTTCAAGCATATGGCAGACAATACAAATGCCGTTTCCTTCAAGTACCTATGCTTCCATTGCATAAATAAATGTGATTATTACCGGGATAACCATGGCGAAAATAGTCACAAAAAGCTCGAAAATCTCAATCGGTAATCCATAATTGCATAACTAACCGGGCACCTCTGGAATTTGGTATGCTCGGCACTTTGCGTTGGCCTTCCTGCCACTTCCGTACCAATATTCAACATTACGTACTCTCCATCACGATCAAACTTCACGGAACATTTCTGGCCTTCCCATCTCAAACCTCTACGCATGGTTTTCGCCACAAGAAATCAGCCACCCACGACAGGTAACAACTTAGGTAAATACATGGTAAATCGGGACCGCAATCGCTCTGTTCTGCGATGTGCATATACGCAGCGTTTAAAATATTGATCCCCCTCCAGCAGGTCGTGCCAAAGAGCTGTTAGCTGGAAAGATGATGCAATTTGGTGGGTAACGGGTACCATGTTGTTGGTCAGCCTGCGCTGACAGAAAGCCCGATGACAGTTGTCTTACCTCTTCTAGCATATTGTCGATAATGACTGGGAATCCATACCAGCCGAGTACGCAGCCAAATATTAAAATTGTCACTCCGACGAACGCCGTAATACCCACTTTTACATTTGTTTGCATGCTTGCACACAAGGTCTTCGTTCGTTAGGCGCACACGTCAATCACTGATCTCATATCACTGCACTGGCGAAAATTCCTTTTCTTCACGTAAGCAACGCGTATCCACAGTCGCCACCCACCTCCCACGGCGACCAGCGCCATACTCGTGCGTCATGCAGAATGCAGCTGTTGTCTCGCAGCAGAAAACGGACGGATGTTTATAATAAAGTCCAACTTGCTTGCTGTTTTGGCTGGTGAGTTATGTACAATAGCATATTTTTGGCCGTTAATTATTTTTTGTATAAACGGATATTTTATATTTAGTTTGAAAACTCAAACTTTGTCTAACACCTTTAACAAGAACAATTTATTTTTCCATTTCAATGTGTTCAGTAACTCAAGCTTTGAAACCTACCGAACTGATATTCTGTTTAGAGGGTTTCCTGCATTTAATTGCATGGAAAGATGAAGACTGTTGATTTCTCCTTAAAAAAACAAGTGAGGAGATCATAGCGCGTCAGTATTGTACCACGCCATGCGTAACGTTGTCGATCAACCTCTGAACCTGTGACGTCAGTCATGCTGGGTATTGTGGGCATAGACTTGAGTTACCGAGCTCGAAACATCTGTAGTCATATATGGCGCTGTGCATTCGATTTTCCCGGATAAGTTCTGGTGTGTGAGAGCCTGTGACGCCCTGTGTTTGCGACAGTCTCGTTTCGCCTGCGGGTTATATAAACGATTTCTCCGTATTTCTGTTCCGTTTAACCCAGGTTAGATCTCTTTGATTTGTCGTAATATGTGTCTATGTGTGCCACCTGTTCTCCCAGCTTTGATGCACGCGAGTGTGCAATGACCTTTGTGAATTCATTGTATGAATATTGACATTCTAGTGTTTACTCGACGCTTAAACACACTGAAAGGCGATCGGCTGAAGCTGAAGTCTGGATGTCACGGCGCACTTGCGTTCCTTTTGCAGCTGCGAGTATTTCCCTCATTTGTATCCAACAAATCTGTAAGCCTTCCCAGAATACCAAGTGAGATAGTTCCAGTACTAGGTAAGGTGGAGCCTGAATGGTCTGCCAGGAATCCACCCATTGTCACAAATGCTGTCATGAAGTTGGAGTACTGTGTCCTGAGTAAAAGTGTGTGAATTTCAGGTCAGTTTAAAATGTGCTGAATTATGAGATACTTCTGTTTGATTTGTTGGGATATTTTTGTGTGTAATTGCCTTTGCAGCAGCATATGTATGCATTGGTACCTAGTCTTAAAAAAGGGCATTGTACATTGTTTGTTGTGTTAAAGGTGGATCATATAGTAAATAATCATTTGACAGGCAGATTCATGCTCCTACCTTCAAATTTAAATAATGACGATAGTGAGCTCCCGAGCACCACACACACTTCGCCACCTTCCCCCCCCCCCAGGGCCGCTTTTGCATTATCGTTGCATGGTCACAATATTACTGCTGATCAAGAACCATAAAAATCTGACCTGACCTGACCTGACCTGACCTGACCTGACCTGACCTGACCTGACCTGACCTGACCTGACCTGACCTAACCTAACCTAACCTAACCTAACCTAACCTAACCTAACCTAACCTAACCTAACCTAACCTAACCTAACCTAACCTAACCTCCCCACATTATCCCCTTTAACCCAGTGTCCCATTGGCATCCATGTTCTGTGCCATATGTATGTACTGTATTAAGAGGTTTTGTTTAGCCATCATATTCTCCTATTGCTTTTCATTACTCACCCAAATACATCATATTTGACCACCATGTTGACCAACCTTCAAACAGTGTGGAAGACTGTTTGGATATGCAAGAAACATATCTCATTGGATTCCTGTTGCCTTGGCCCCATACATTTTTATGGTTTTTGATGCCAAGAGTTTAGATGACCTGTTTTTTTATTGTTTGTGATATATTCTGCCTTAAAGATGACAGATGGTGTACATTGCTCTTTTTAACATTAGGTAGTAGTGTATGCCATGACCTCTCAGAGTTACACTATGCATGCACCAATTTGGCTGCAGAAATGTTGTTGCCATGTTTAATATATTCAGGGTAACATATATGCTTTCCAATCTGGGAGCATGGCCTGTGGGACTGTATGTTAAATGAAAACCAGCTTAGATTCTAAGTGAACCCATGCAAGATGAGATGGAATCTCACAGTTTTTTTTTTTGTTATCAACAGAGAATTCTTCACAGCAGTTCATTTGAAAATGTGCTCTTGGTTATTTTGCTAACAAAAATAAAATTTATGCCATATCATGACACTGTGTATTTGATAGCTTACATGATGCCTTTTGATATCCTGTGAATACAAAGCTTATCTATCCTCTTCATGGCTTACACAGAGCAATTGACATTCTGTCAAGTTGAGAGGAAGACAAGAGGCAGTCTCGCTTCTTTTGTTTCAGTCCACACCCATAGCCCCAATGTTAGACTGTCAAATAGATAAGTGGCTTGCTTAGGCCATTGGTCCCACTAGTCTCAGCACCCCTGAGCCTACTGCTTTTAGACACCAGGTAATAGAGCATAAAAATTATATAAAGGCATCACAAAGGCTCTACATTTTCAAACTGATTGGATGCTGCACATTTATTTTTTTGATGAAGTGGTAGATTCCTATTTATTTGGTCCATATGTTTTCTCCTGTATGCATTGTCTAGTTAGGTACATGCCTTGCACTTTTCAGGAGCATCAGTGCCAGATGATAATGCCTGATACAAAAGCTTGACATTAGGTTAGTAATGTCTGCTTACTTTAGGAGCATTTGCCCTCATGCATCTATCATTTGAAACTGGCCAATTATCAGCCATATCCATATTGCATGTTTTGTCATGAGCAGTAAGGTGCTGAACATAAACCTGCTAAGGCATTTCCCATCAGGATGAGATGCACCACATAGGTTACACAACTTCTTTTGAAGCTTTGATCCAGACATGATTGTCAGCTTGTTTTTTTCAATTGTGTGGGATAGCCATTTGGATGTTGTTATCTAAATTGCTCTTGTTTTTGTCAATTAGGTGTCAATTTTGCCATTGAGATGCTTGGTGTCATGTGTGTCAGGGCAAGCAAGGCAACAGATTTGAGGATTGCAGGTTATGTATCAAATAAATATGATTATCAATGATCAGCTACTACTTGAACTATCAAAGGATAATGCAGGAAATGTAGGAAAGCATGTCTCATGGGAGTCTGACAGACAGTGGCACACAGATGTGATATTTGTTTGCCAATTCACAGCCAACCACCTGTAAGCTGGCTGTCTGAGTCTGGCCATTCCTGATAATTCAGATTACCAAAGTTATGAAGGTGCACTTATTTAATTTTTTGCAATTATGATTAAAGGATGGTGAGAATGTACATTTTGAACTGTGCTTAGAATGAATACAGCTTTACAGCTGTAAAGCTTTTCTCCAGTGTGTGATTTCATCACCTATTTTTTTCAGTTATGGTTTCAATAAACAGTGCATCCCATACTCTAGGCTGCACTCAGAAAAGGTGGCATTGGCTGCTTTCCAGTCAAATATTCTGTGGGTCACCAAGCTGTTACTTGTATGGTCTCCTCCATCATGTTAGTGGTTTCATGCCATCTGCTTGCCAATCCAACAGCAGTACCCAACCAGATGTACTGATCCTTGACTTGTGCAAGATATGATATATCTGTCCACTGATGTCAACCCACCATCAGCATTTCTGTCCACTGATGTCAACCTGCTGTCAGTGTGACTGTCCACTGACATCAACCCACTGTCAGTGTGGCTGTTTGCTGACATCGACCTGCTGCCAGTGTGGCTGTCCACTGACATCGACCTGCTGCCAGTGTGGCTGTCCACTGACATCGACCTGTTGTCAGTGTGAGTGTCCACCGACGTCAACCTGCTGTCAGTGTGAGTGTCCGCCGACGTCAACCTGCTGTCAGTGTGAGTGTCTGCCTTCTCTCCCTTCATAGCCTGTTAGTCTTGTAACTCTGTGATCTGGGGACATTGAGATGTGGACCCAAATTTAGCTTATGTTCTTCATACTTTATTTGAAAATTTCTTGTTTAGGATATGGACAAGATCGTGGTGGTGGTGGTGGTGGAGGGGAAGGGGGGGGGGGGGGATTATGATGTCATTGCAGTGTTGGAGGACAGGATATTCTGATCACACAGGTATCATGCAAACATCTGACCAACTAAAAAGCCCAACTGAAACCATTGCTGTTCTGATTGCTGGATACTCCATGATTCAGTAATCAGTCCTTGCAAATATATCATTCAAGAAAGCATGGTGGCTAAATGGGTCCAAGCCGGGCTGTGGGAGTTGAAATGTCCTCATATTTCCTGTAGGGCTCATTCCCCTGCAGTCTCACTCGTAACACCTCACCACCGTGGCATCTCTGTATTGTGTCATCAGAGATCAACCATGGGTATGAGTGGCTGCTTGCTGTTGCACTGCCTCATGTTGGAGGACTGGCAGGAGGAGCCATCACATCCAGAGCCATTCCCACCTGGTACAAGGTTAGCTAAGCTTGTTGAACTGATCTGATGTATTAGTTAAGGTAACAATTTTACAGAATGTGTGGCTAACAATTTGAGTTGTCATTGTTGCATTGCAAACATTTGTTCAACTTGGGCTTCACTGGTGGGCTGAGCTTAACATGCTGAAGGAGAAAGAAAATGGATGCTGAATAAGAAAAAAGATGGCATCAAAATTCAATTGACCTCGATTGACACACTAATTTGTATACTTTCCATCTGCACAGTGAAAGGCTGCAGTAAGAGAGATGTCATGTTGAATTAGTTAATAGCACTACCCTCAAATCGTGCTAAGTCATTGTTTATAGATGAAACAACATCGCTTAGAGGCTCTCCTATTTTCAGCATCTGAAAAAGCCATCTTTCAACCCACCCAACTGGGTGTTTGCCCCAACATGGACTGCCCTGTACACTGGCATGGGCTACGCTTCCTACCTGGTCTGGGCAAACGGCGGTGGATTCCAAGGTCAGCTTATGACAGTCGGCTGTAATTGATAACATTTCGAACCTCTGGTGATCAGGATTTGTTTTCCCTTGTTTTGAGAACGCATTGCCTGTAAAAGAACGTACCTGATTTTTGTCACATGTTCGTACACTTTTTCGGTGCATACATTGTATTTTCGATGTATATTCCTTATGGATAGCCAACCTGTGTCCGTCTGTTCGAAGGGAGCGCCAGACTGCCATTGGCACTTGTATGGTGTTCAGCTAGCACTGAACTGGGCCTGGACACCAATTTTCTTCGGGCTTAAGCGTCCTGGACTGGTGAGATACACCTTGAAAATGATCAATTATTGATAACTGATGACTGTCTGGCTGGAATCTGGTTAGCTGAGTGATTCCACAAGCTGTTCGGTGCACAGTGATGAGTCACCAGTGCTTTCCACGAGAAGTGTTCCTTGTCTTTGAACATTGCTGTATCGCCAAGACCACAAAATCCCAAAGTCGTGCTCGCGTTCACCCTCGGATGTGGTGTGGTGCGCACCTGCAGGCGTTCCTGGAGATGATGACCCTCCTGGTGTCCGTCGGCGGATGCGTGGTCACGTTCGCCCCTGTCAGCCGCACCGCCTCGTACCTGATGATGCCCTACCTCTGCTGGACCGGCTTCGCTGCCATTCTCAACTACTTCATCTGGAAGCTGAACAGGGACAAGGCCGAGTAGCCGATCGCCGCCCCGGCACGCACCCGGCACCGCGTGAGGAGGAATGCCATACCTTGGTGGAGGGTCTATAGCGAGCGCACAGTCCGCGACTGGATGAAGCTTCCTGCCATTAGCACTGCGGTGATCGGGAAATCGGCACTAAGGATCGTCGCGTGGGATCGTCGGGCACGCCACGTGCGGGCGTCGTGTTAAGCTGTGAATGGTTTCGCACAGCAGCAGCGATATTTTCTCAATTGTCTTATCAATCGGGCGAATCGTCGCTCCAATGTGGACCACAATGCGTATCGATGCCCCAGCGTGGATGGGCGGGATGCTAGTATTAAACGTTGCACCCTGGCGGTTACCGGACATGGGGCGCTGATAGCGTTAGCGTTGTCAGTGTTCTTTCAAAGGAAAACAAGGTAGTTTGTGCCAAAGAAAACGCAATAGTTTCCCTGAAGCTCGTCCGGTATCATGTGCAACTACAAATGCCCACACAGATACGATTGCGACGGGCATGGGCATTATTGTTAACTAAAAAGGTAGATGAATCCTGCACAAACTTATATTTCCTGCATATTTAATATATTTTCACATATTTCCTGATACTAATTGCACGTGCCCACAGATCTAGTCGCGACCGTCAGCGGGCATTGTCATTTACCGACCATCAGACAGGTCTCAAAATGCTCATGGAAGGGTGGGCCTTTCTTGCATAAACACCGATCCGGGGAATGGCACGCGAAACGTCTCGTCGGTGGTGCTGCCAGCAAGTGAAGCTGGTCTCAAATAAGTCGGGGCCTAGCCCAACAGCTGTTGGAAATCAAGTATATCAGGTATAACCTTCAGGACGCAGCGTTATTGAAATGATTGCTTATTGACAGCGACGCACGCTCTGGGCACGTGTTAGCAAACTATGCAGGTGTGATACCTTCCACATTACATGCGTGATTCGTACCTTTTCTCGCGCTTTAGTGTAGCGTGGGGCGTGTTGTGGTGCCTGTCAGCGCGTCTGGCGAATGACTGACGCGTGCTCCCTGGTAAGCAGGGGCCTTGAGGCACCAGTGCGCCCCGGCCGTGAGCGCCCAAACCACAGGGCCGGCGGAAGCCCCAGTCCCTCTTGATCTTGGCGTTTGTTGTGTGCATGCTGATTCGAGTACCGCACTGCTTGAGAGGATGAGCACCTGGGAGGCGAGGGACCAATCTAATATAAGCAGAATTGTATTGATCGCTATCTCCGTCTTTTCTTTGTTTTCGTTGGAGATGAATGCTTGCGGTAACGTGGATTGTATATTCCGGTTTCGGCTGCGCTTTGCCCGACTAAGAATCACAAATATGTACCCTCGCGGTCGCCGCCCGCTCGGAGGCCAGACGTGCGGCGGCCCGATGTCCCACCTCACATGTTCTGGTAATACCTTTATTCGTGCTGTCTTTGAAAGCCACACAGAGAGTGACAGATGGAAAGCAATTGATGACGGAAGACTAAATGAAGAACACGTTAGACAAACTAAGTGAAACCTTTTCCAGATGTTTCGCCATGTGGCAGTCTTGACGCATGGTCGGTACGGCAATGGCCAAATATCCAATTTTAATTAAACATATCCAATTATCCAATAAATAGCCAAACAAGCAAAAACAAAACAGAGTCCCTGGGTTCAAACCTGCTCAAAACACACCACTGAGCTTAAAATGGTCACAAACTATAAGCCCGACCAGCGGGCGTGCCGTTCAGCTGCTGCCAAACCCGCCCCATGCCCGCTGGAGCGCAGCAGACGCCGCGCGTCGGCGGATCACGCGCCCGCTACTCAGCAGCGTAACACGCGAATCCGGCCGTCGCTCGAAGACGACCGCGGCGCGCGGCGACGCCAGAACGGTCTCGTCCGGCGGATCGCTCCAGCGGAGAGCGCCCCCGGCCAGCGCGTGGAAGCGGCCCGCTTGCTGACCAGCAGCATTAGACGGGCACCTGGAACAGAGGCGGCACGGTCAGACGAGCCTCGGCACTGTGTACACCGCGGAGTACACCGGAGTACAGTACACCACGCAGTGCGAGCATGTTCACCCGTGAACAGTGGACGGCTGCAGAGAGAACGGACGAAACTACACGCATGTGTGGAACGCCAAGAGGTCGGCGACCTTTATCACCTGAAAGCTGCGCCTGCTGGTTGAGAGGAGATCTTAGTGGACAGTTATGAGGTTAGCGCGGAATGCGCAAACTGGCCGGAGAACGAGACGTGCCAAAAATGCACCACAGGCCGAAATCAGGGGGGGGGGGGGAGGGGGGAGCGACGGCGAACGAAGATACGGGTCGACCGCTATGCGGATGTGTAATAGCCTTCTGAAAAGACTGAACGGTAGGTTCTCAGCAGGGTCGAAGCAAATGCTCCCATTACAATAAGCAGCACGATCATGGATAGAGTTTCAGGAGTCTGTTCAGAACCGCCGGTTGCGAGGAACCGTCCCAGTGAGCAGTGACGAGGTCTGCGCCGAACACCTTAAATGACAGGGGAAATATCGGACGACCAGACATGCCGAGGGCACATGCGACACACGTGACTAGAACATCGGTCACATGTACACGATGTACACACACGATGCAGTATCAGGATGGCGACTGACCGGTCACGGAATAGCGACGCCCCGGAGAGGCCTTTGCCCTGGGGCTTCCGTCACATGCCACCGTCAGGATCATCGAGGAAGAACCTCAGGCGCTTACATGGAGAATGGAGGAAGACACAAGGCCGAAAATCACACTAGCTTCTATGCTTTCCCAACTGCTGACACTGGCCCAGCCGGGTCATCCGTGCATCACCACGGAAAGGCAGCCGCGCGCAGCGCGCACCAGCCTCCCGCCCGAGGCCTTCACAGAAGCGTGGCGCCGCCGCCCACTTACCGCGCTCCGGAGCGCCCGGTCCAGATCGTCGATGATGTCCTGCGTGTCCTCGAGGCCGACGCTGACCCGCAGCAGCGAGTCGCTGATGCCGAGGCGCGCGCGCTCCTCCTCGCTGACGGCCGCGTGCGTCATCAGCGACGGCAGCTCGGCCAGCGACTCGTAGCCGCCCAGGCTCTCGGCCAGCGCCACCAGCTTCAGCGCCTGCAGAAAGGCGCGGCTCTCGGCCAGCCCGCCGCGGATGTAGAAGCTCAGCATGCCCGAGGGGCCGGACGTCTGGCGGCGGGCCAGCGCGTACTGCGGGTGCGACTCCAGGCCCGGGTGCAGCACGCGCTCCACGGCCGGGTGCTTCTCCAGGAAGCGCGCCACCTCCAGCGCTGATGTGCTGTGCTGGCGCATGCGCACGGCCAGCGTCTTGATGGAGCGGTTCACCAGGTAGCAGTCGAAGGGGGACGGCACGGGTCCGATGGCTGGAAGGACGCGGGCCGGGTCAGCGCGGGTCCGGCGGTCAGGCGCGGCGCGGCACCACCTGACCGTGCCCGGACAGCGACACGAAGGCCGGCCGGTTACGACGCTCCCCGACGGTCCAGAACGATAGATCAGCACGCCAAGCTCGTACGAGTGCGAACTCACAGTACACATAATGCGAGGCGGCGACACGTTATCGATTAGACTGCCGAGTACCTAACATCCTTTCATGTTTTGAATGTAAGGGAAATTATTTGATGGAGCTTCGTGAGCACCATTTGCAAGAGCAACTATGCGCTACACCCAGACTTGTATTTGGTGACGTAATGATTTCATTTTTGTCCCACTGGTCATTTCGTGCCTCACTGGCCGGGCACGGCAGCGAGAGGAGGATCAGCCAGAGGAATGAAGGAGACATATCTGTAAAACAGATGCATGTGACGGCATGCCCTACTTGTGTAGGAAGCCTGCATCTCCTCTGACATGGCCTGACCCTTCCCACTCTCAAACGATCCGCTCGAAAATAGTAGGCCGCAACACGTGGCGAGCGAGTCATCAGCCTCGCGCCGAGCACAACTCTGGCCACATGGCGGCCTTTAAATGACCCAGCGGAAATACGTCCGCCGCCTGGCGGAGCGCTCCGTCACCACACAACACCCCAAAACTCATCTTCCCCCGATCACCGACACTATCCCAGCGGCGAGACCCCGCCGCCCCGGTCCGACCCGCGGCCGAGAGATGGGCAGGGGGCGCCAGGTCATCTCAGCCCAGAGAGGGGGCACCAGGGGGCACCAGGTCATCTCAGGGGCGCCAGGTCAAGCGGGCCCGGCGCGCGCGCTCACCGTTCTGCAGGAATCGCAAGCTGTCGTGCACGTCGTCCTGGTTGGTGGCCACCAGGCCCATGACCACGTCCGAGTGGCCGTTGATGTACTTGGTAGCCGAGTGCATCACGATGTCGGCGCCCAGCGCCAGCGCTTGCTGGCGGCAGACGCGCGCGGGGCACTGTCAGAGGCCGCCCGCGGCTGCGCGCGCCGCGCTCGGCGAGATTCACTCCCCCACCCACAGCGTTTCGGCAGCAGCACCACGGCGATCGTGAACAGACCCGCTCACCTGGAAGTAGGGCGACATGAAGGTGCTGTCGACCACCAGCTTGACCTTGGGGTGCTCCTTGACCACCTGGGCGACGGCGGCGATGTCCACCAGCTTCATGGTCGGGTTGGTCGGCGTCTCCACCCACACCAGCTGGGAAGCGCCACGTCGGTGACGTCACGCCGCTGGCTGGGTGGCGGGAGGGCGGCCACGGGACGGCACAGAGCCGAGCGGACACCAGGGAACGTCTCCCCGCGTGCCAGGGGTCTGGACAACATTCAACATTAACCCAATGACGGTGCACGGGATCAAACTGAGCACAAATCACGTTTGTCGTCCCCTACCCCCACCCCCACAGACGTTTCGCCGCCACGGCGCAGACCACGGGTGAAGTGCCAATGCTGCTCATTATTTGCACACCCCGTTCATGCACTTAAAGCACTCCATCAAACCATGACACTCCATGTCGCCTAGACCCGGACATAGTGCTACCGCACCCGGGTAACTCCAGTTACACCTGTCAGGCGCTGCAGGTGCAGCTTCACACTTCCAAACCAACACCTCATGCGCTGATCACTAGCACGTACATTCCAAACTTGCCGCACAACCCTGGTGAAATGGACTCTAAACGAAAACGAGACCTGCGTCTGCGGCGGGAGGCAGTTGCGGCGGGACACACAGGCACACATACCCTGGTGCTGTCTTTGATGGCGTCTGCCACGTGCTGTGTGTTAACCGCGTCCACGAAGGTCGTCTCAATGCCCATTCTGCTGGCCACCTTGGTGAGGTAGCGATTCGTGCCTCCGTACAGATCGTCCATGGAGACGATGTGGTCGCCGGAGCTGAGCATGTGCACAATCGTCGTGGTCGCCGCTAAGCCCGAGGCGAATGCCATGCCTGTCAGGGGAGACGCCTGGTGAAAACCTGTCATATCAAACTGAAGCCTCGAGCGACATCTCGTGAGAAAATCGCGAAGTGCATGCTCCATTAATCCACATTGGTGGCTGCCGCCGTTTACATATGCTCTGCAATATTATTCCTGGCCATTACCGAAATAAGCTCCTCAGTTAAACAGCCAGTGGAGCGATGAATGCAGCGCAAAATGTCCATTGGCAAACACAGGCCACCATTGTCAAACACAACCCTTTGTAATGCTTCCCCTCGAGAGAAATACCAGCCTCTCGCCGTCTCAGTCAACCGCATACAGATCACGCTATTCCTGAATCGTGCTAAGCACATCCGCCTCGCTCTTCTCACCCAATCTTCACAACAGCCCGTCTATGCGGGGTGAGCCGCCGCCGCCAGCCTCGAGCGGGCTTAAGAGCCGCCCGGGCGGGGGTCCGCCAGAGCGGCCGTACAAGCTCCGACTACGATACCCCTGTACCGGACCGGGCGGGGCTCGGCAGGGAACACCGCGGCCCGCGACGGGGCCGCGGTGTTCCCTGTCACTTACCTCTCACTGCCACCCCATAACCTAAACTGGTCAACACTGGCTGAAATGGCTCCACTCCCAATCAAACGACAGCGTTCAGCGCTTCACCATCATGAATGGGTCTTACCATATTTCGCCTTCTCCAGCGACGCGTAGCATTTCTCCATCGCGTTCCTGGTCGGGTTTCCGCTCCGCGAATACTCAAAGCCCTGCAGGCATCGAAAGAGGTCACGTGAGAGCGGCGCCACAGTCCTCATCCGGAGATCCACGGCACCAGTCGGACCTTGTCATAAAGAGGTCACTGACCCGTCCGACGCCACATCTGTTGTCTCTCAGGCAGTGCAAATCCTCCACTTTTCTACTACAGAGACACGCAGGCCGGTTGAAGTCGGATGCAGCGGGACAGTCAGGAGTTCTTAGTCGCGCCATGCCGTCGTGAACACCAGCAAAACCGGCATTATCGGAAGTCCCGTGGGCCATCACAAGGCGGTTCACCAGGTTTACAGCTTGGCAGCAGGCTTGTATACTCCTAGACTGCGCTTTCTGAGCGACGGCACTTTATCAACAGATTCGTAAACAAAACGCAGCACTAAAAGCTTGAAGTGAATGTGTGGAGCTGACACACCCCCGCCAGAGGTCCAGAGGGCGCGCGACGTCATTGATGGCCGCAAGCTGATAAACATGGACCAGGGTCTGTCCAGTCTCACGATGACAGCCCTGTCCCTTGGGGACAGCAACAGAGACGCCGGACGGAGGGGTGGGTGAGGAGACGGCACACCCGTCAGGCATGTGCCGATTGTGCAAAACTGAAGGAAGGAGGTCGCACTTCATTGTATGTTTACATGACTGTTGGCGGATGGGGTGGGGGTGGGGGTGGGGGTGGGGGTGGGGGTGGGGAGGGGGAGGGGTGGGGATAGGGGTGTGGGCAGGGGTGGGAGCGGGGGCGGGCGAGGCGGCGGCCTTACCCGGTGCTCAGCCGGCCCATCCTGTTTGAAGGTGGTCGCCAACGAGATGGGCGGCACGACGGCGCGCGAGTTCCACTGTTCGGGCTCGTTACCCTCGCAGATGGCACGCGTCGCGAAGTGCGGGTCGGTCGGCAGGTACTCGGCCATGACGCTGCTCTGAAGACCGGGCAGAGATCTGCGGGAGATGCCGCCAGACGGCTTACCAGACGGCTTACTAGGGGACACGGCGTGTGGGCGTCGGCGCACACGGGGTGGTCAATTCAAGTGGCGCGCGATGGCAACAGGCGACAGTACTGAATATCAGTATACTGCAATAGGACGTCAGTATGACACGCAGCTGCCAAGTCACCGCCACACGTGGGCTCCAAAACGCCGATGCAGTTTTCCTTCAGGCGATGGAGTAATAACAAGACGCATTTATCAATTATTCAGCATCTATACTTGATTTGAGCGTAAAACACTCGAATCTGCGGTGAGACCAGCCAGCCAACTCAATCTTGGGTTAAATCGATTAAGACGGAAAACCTCCGATCGGGTGATCGTCATACGTTGTGTTTAAAGCTCCAGCATACCAATATTCATGATCCCCACTACCTGCGCTGTTAGGTACACGTCACGGCGTAGCCTCCTCTTTTGCCTCTTCAAATCAAACATCCCCGAGCGATTGCTGCAGTCAAGCTGCGCAGAGAAAGATACGAAATCATACGCCAGGTCCATCCTGTCTCTGACCCCGATCGCGTCGTTGCGGGGCCACCGCTGTACTTTTCCATGGACGAAGTGTCCGCAGTACTCCTGGTCTGGACCATATCCAGGCGGTACCTTGGACAAGGACTCGCTTTCTGTTAGATCTCCCGCCGTACGAACAACTAACGTGACAGAAGACAGACAGAGCGTGTTTCTAAACAAACACATGTCATTTGTCGAGTTTGCCTTTGAACAAGTATGTTCCAAGGATTTAGAACATGCGACGCAGTCGGCTTCCTTTCAAGCTCCACTATGGGCGTGCGCGACCCTAGGAGTGCAAAATACTGTTTTCAGTTTGTTTAACTTGTGCTTTGCCCACGAACATGTGGACGTGTTGGTCTTCCCGTATTCTCCACGGCACTGATAATTGCACGATAGCATCATATTGGAGCACAAAGTCACATGGTTGTGGCAATTAATATTTAGAGGAGAACGAGACTACACAAACAAGGCGGGGGGGGGGGGGAAGAAGCATGTGCAAGAGAACGGGAAGAGCAAGCAGAACAGCGGGCCGGCTGGATTAGTCTCCGGGATAGTAGAAATTTAAGCACAAAATTGCAACTACGCGATAATTTACAACAGCCGGTACCAAGAACACTCTTGCGCTCACTTCCAAGAAGCCATATCACGTATGTAAATCATACATCATACATCGCATCACACATATTACGCATCATGCAAAATGTCATACACATCACGCATCACATATCACATGCCACCAAGAATTTTCGCCGGACGAGGAGGTTATGGGGGGGGGAGGGGCACAGCGATCAGCCAGACGGGGTGTAGCCGTTAGTAGGAGGAGCACAGCTCGCCCCGGGCCATGGCAACAACGTCCCTGGCATCCCTGGCATCTCGTCCTGGTGTTCGCAAGTCAGCAGGCGCAACAAGCGACAATACCGCCATCTACTACGACAAGCTGCATTTACTACATTGTCAATTTTGGTGCACGCATTTCAAGACACCAGACGGAGGTGTAATGTTGATTTTGGTGCGAACTGCATGGATGTAGAAGATTGGTTCTCATGCCAACTGGATGGAGGTAGAATGCTGATTTTGAAATTTGCAATACACTAGCACTGCCAGCAAATACTGATTATGTGCTTTGACCACGCTATCCATGGCGCGCCATGCGTTTCATCAGCAAATCGTGAAAAGGGAAAGCCTGTGGGCAAGCGGGGCGCCTGGAATTTCCAAATCAACATTTGTAGGGTCAAATTCGTGATCAGCAGGCAATACGCATCAGATTACACATGGGGGCAAACTTTTTCGCAAAAGTGGTCACCCCTATGCTTACTTGGATAAGCTTCATTGCTCGGTGGTGCATCGCTAACCATACACCGAGCACGTTACAAGTTCGCCTGCTCCGTCCACGTCAGTTTACATATATCCAAACAGAAGACAAAGTCTGGAGAACTGCGGAATAGTCCTTGATCTGAATAGCGACAGCTGTTTCGAAACGGTGGTGTACAAACCTGTCATGGTTGCGCATATGGCACGTGCTTGTAAAAATATGTGCCACTAAGCGCCTCCATAATCAAAACGCCTTCTCGGGTACGTGGCACGTAATCAGCTAACGCGTTTGCGATCCCACTGGGCGCGTCTCAACCCGCCAGCTGCGGCCGACGGGGCGGCCGGCACTGCGCGCGGACGGGAAGGGTGGCTGGCCGTCCGAAGGGTGACTGACCGTCCAACCTGCGGCGTCTACCCGCTCCCGGGCCACCGGGGCCCACGGCCGAGCCGGACGATTCCGTGTGACCCCGGGTCACGCGGTCACAGTCGGGGACTGGAGCGGACTGGGGTCGGTGGTCGAACTGACGCGGAAAGGGCGACGTGCAGACGAGCCGCTGATGGCCAGTTTGACAGCGTGCTGAGGCCACACCGCGGAGGAGGGGGTGATGGGTGAGCGAACCGCTGATGGCCAGTTTGACAGCGTGCTGAGGCCGCACCGCGGAAGAGGGGGTGATGGGTGGGCGAACCGCTGATGGCCAGTTTGACAGCGTGCTGAGGCCGCACCGCGGAGGGCATGACGGGAGACTGGGCCCGTCTGGCATCAGACTAACGCTGGAGCTTTGGTTGCGAGCCCGGGACTGAAGCGAAAGCATCCCACAGCCGGGCATAACGGAAAGTAATCAATTTGGAAAACTTGCAAAAGCTCCAAAAGTCTACTTTACACATTTGATTGTGCAAACAGGCCACAACTATTACCTAAAATCACACAGTAGTTATTACAGGGATATCAGTCAGCAAGTCGTCAAAATAGTTCAAAATCTTATAAATGGAGCACTGGAATTAACGTCTTCTTGATGGAGAAGATCTGCAAAGTTTTACTTGAGAAATTGCGCCAGAGACTGTTGTTCAACGAGTGATTTACATAAGGCCGAGGCCTCGGGAGAAAAAACCTGGGGAGGGGAAGGAGTAAGCAGGTCCCATGGCACCCTCACTTTCTGAGAACGCGAACATTATGGCGATGCATGGAAAGAACATACCACACAACTGGTTTTTACATCCTCGCTTTCCCGGACATTCCTTCGTTCATGACTGAGGCTGAATGACAACAGACAGCCAAAAGCCGACCCAAAGACTCCGAAGAGTCTGTGTCCGGCCACATCATATTTAGGTCGTACGTCTGACCGTTAGCCGAACAGGGCACTGACTGGACCGGGCCGGAACTGACAACAGAGCAACAGCGTAACGTCTGGAGCCGAGTAGACCAACCACAAATACTAAGAATTGGACAGACTGACGGCAAATACCGAGCCGATTATACTAAGCCACCCCGCGGAGCCGGCCAGAACGAGGTACTTCGAGCCCAGCAGTCGCAAACACCGCACCGCTGGCCGTCAAAACGTGACCAAGCGAAAACAGAACCGTTCCCTGAACTTACGACCCAATGACTTGTAGTTCGCATTTCCTTACAAGAAAAATGCCGTTCAGAACCGGCCACGGACCCGGCAAGCCTGCGGACACGGCGCTAATGTGATATTTGTGCCCAAGACGCCGGCCGGGTGTGACGCAACATGCGCTGCTGATGCTTCCCTCCCCCGCTGCCACAGCTGCTTCCGGCAGGCAACGGTGGGTGCATAGCAGCCGCCGTCAGCACCCGCGCGGCGCCAACGCACGGTGGGACCGAGTCAGCCTGTCCCCCGCAGCGCCAGCACGCGGTAGGACACGGAATCGGTCAGCCAAATGTGTGGCAGGCGAATGCTCACGTCAAGTCGGGATCCATGCAACACATGGTGATGACCACTAGTTTTCAGACGAGAAAGACGATTGTCGCGGCTGGCAGCGAAAGACGTCGAATTCTAAACCGAGCCGGAAACGTTTGCCGCAAGATGTGGGAAATCTTTACGTTGTGTTTATCTGTTAAGCCTTTTATTGGCACGTGTTTACCGGGATCAGGGTAGCACAAATCAATATCGCGGGCTATTGCCTTCACATAATTATATACCATTGCACAAATATATGCAAATATAAAACGATTTTGAGCAGTGCAAATGAAAGGTCCGGATGACCTTAAAATATACCGAGTCCAAACATGATGAACCGTACTGCATTCACCAACAGGATACCGGAGCACACGCAAGTAGCTCTGCACCCGCAGATGCTGCAGTCACCGGCCGCGGTCGGAACATATGGCCACGGACATATGCTCATCCGCGGGTTATAACTGACGGGATGCACAGTCAGACTCAGCCACCGCGCCCCGAGAGACCGCACGCCCGCCGAGCGCTACCACAAACGCCGCGCACGCGCAGCAGCTGCCGGCGCCGCAGGTGCGCGAGCGTCCGTCACCAACCTGTTGTAGTCTGCACGGCGCACTGAGGGCCCGGGCACGTGGCGCGCCACCTATATACAGAGCAGGGGGCCTTGAGCGCGCTCCGGCAACGTCACCCCCGCCGCCCTGACTGGCGGTTACTATCGCTCGGCCGCATGCTGGCTCCAGGCGACCAGATGGCACGGTCGCGGCCGTACCGTGCCGGCGTCTGGTGGGCCAGCGCGGTGTCGTGTTTCGGCGCAGCCAGCGCTGTGGGGTCACTCACATGATGTCACATGGGTCTACTGAGCTGCCCACCTCCTCCGGCCTTGTGCGTTCCCGGTAGGCACTCCGCTCTATGACGGCGTCAGCGTGACTGTCCAAAGCGGGTGCACTGCGCAGCGTCTGCCATAAGCAGAGTGACTGCAGGATGCATAACTGGAATGGAAACCTACCACAAACCCTGCCGTGTGACAGCAAGCCGGATATAAATATTCGTGCCTTTGAGACCTTATCACGCACTCGGCCGGGCGACCGCGGGGAGGGGGTCGGTTTGACCCCTCCCCGATTCTTTTTCTCACCCTCTCCAAAATAACTTGCCAACAGCGCGGCATAGCCGAACCAAAAATTATGTAGCTGTATGCAACTGCACAGCCAACATTCTGGTATACGAA